TGGATGGTTGGATGGATGGATGGATGGTTGGATGGATGGTTGGATGGTTGGATGGATGGTTGGATGGATGTATGGATGGATGGATGGATGAATGGATGGTTGGATGGGTGGTTTTATGAGTTTAGCTTGGGTTATGCAGGTCTGCTGGTGGCCCGCTCTCAGTCCTGCTGCAGCTGTGGGGGCCGTTGCTGTAAAATCTGTTAATTAAAATGGACTTAACTTTTTTTGGAGGCTCCACGGTATGTTGTTTTGGAGAAAGCAAACAAGCAGCTGCATAAAAAGAAAAAAGTATTTAATCACTTTTTGTGAGTTTATTTGCTTTTAATTTAAATTAAATCCTACAAGCATGTGTGTGCACTTTGATTTGTGATGGAGTTCAGTTAAATCAATACCGACTTTTTCCATTTTTACTTCACTGCATGTTTTCTACACAACACATGAAAAGCACTAATCTGAAGATAGTTGTACTAATCATGCATGGTGATAGAAACACCGTTCTCACCTTCTGTCGTGTCATAGACTTTGAGCTTGTGACCCATCTTCATCTTTTCATTTTGCTCTCCACCATGCTCTCGTTTTCCATGCAGATTTCAGATCATCTATTTTAAGCTGGATTATTTGCTCCACCTGCCTGCCTGCCACTCGTCTTTAAGTTTCATCTCCGTTTGAATGTCAGATTTTCAGAAACACACTCCACTCACTGCAGGTCACACCAAATGGAGAGAGAGAGAGCGAGAGAGAGAGAGAGCGAGAGGAACGCGTGACTGTGCTTGCTGTATGTTTGTTCTGTGTTTTCACAACTCAGACACAGCACAAAGAGCACACTGTCAAACTGATTGATCTGTGATCAGTGAAATTAATTAGAGATCCTTCAAACGCATGATTTGATCTTTAGTTCGTCGTAAAGTTTGGTCATGCTGTAGCTTAAAAATCTCTCGCTGTTTCTCTCTCTGTTTCTCTCTCTCCAACCCCCCCTCACCCCTGCGATCCCGGTGTTAGAAACCACACTGAGGCCAAGCCCCACAAGTGCCCCCACTGCTCCAAGTCGTTTGCCAACTCCAGCTACCTGTCCCAGCACATCCGCATCCACACCGGGGCCAAGCCCTACACCTGCTCCTACTGCCAGAAAACATTCAGGCAGCTCAGTCACCTACAGCAGCACACACGGTACTGGGATGGTTTCCACTGACCACATGTTGTTCTGTGTGCATGTATGGGAGCAGGTGTGCGGAGAATTATCTTATTGTGACTGTTTGATCGTTCTGAATGTTTCTGTTTGTGGCAACTGTCAGAGTTGAAAAGAAAATTTATTTTTTATTATATTTTACACAAACTGTGCTGATTAACTGAACCCAATTGGCTTTTTAAACTTTGTTGCATCTCCACTGACTACATGTTTCCTGTAAGACGGAATGTAACTCATGGAAATCGTCTCCTTTCAGCAGCTTTTGTTGTCTTTATTGAGTGTTTTCCACATTATGTACATGAACCTTTTAAATGGATTAGGAGACACAAAGTGCATGTCGTAGAGCCATGTTTCAAAAATAATAACTTGGCAGAAGTGAAAGTGAAACTGGAAGAAACTAAAACTTGAGGAAGTAAAAGACAGGAGTAAAGTAACGACCAATCAAGTGGCGGCCCGCAGGCCAAATCTGGAGGGATATGTTGTGATTTTTTTTTTAAAGCAACCCTAAACATTAATGCTAATAAAATAGGCTCAGGGTTGTAATGTTTTGATTATCAGTTTATATGAAAGTGGGTCATTCTGAAACTTTTTTCAGTCTGACATGTAATTAATAATGAGCTGCACGCACTTCGATGCAGAATCCTCAGTCTGAAGTTCACGTATGCTAGTCAAAGACAAACGCTGTGTATAAACCTCAAAAACCGAAAGCCTTTTTGGATTTGAGGAATTTTTTTCCCCCCAGACACCAACTTTGTACCATCAGATCTGAATCCTGATCCTGTGACGCTTCATAAACAATAAAATTATAAATTTGTGTGTTTCTGTCTGAACCTGCAGTCAGCTCAGAAAAATTCTGGCCCTTGAGCAAACTGTGTTGGTGATCCCCACTTGAAAGCTTTAGTTTAGCGTTTTTATGCCTTCTTCTGAATTTAGGGTCTGTATTTGATAAAGCACATTTGATTTGATTCAGTGCAAGTTTATTTAACAGGCACTGCACAATAAAAATGTTGCATATAAAGTAATGCAACTGTTGCAGTTCACACAGGACTTCTAGCCTTTGGCCATATAAAGATCTTATCTCTGGTTTGGTATTTTAAAGAAACTCTCCACTATTTTTGCATTTTTAAAATATTAAGTGAAATATATTTTTCTTTTGTTCAGAATTCACACTGGTGACCGACCCTACAAGTGTAATCATCCTGGTTGTGAAAAGGCTTTCACTCAATTGTCAAACCTACAGGTGAGGAAATTTACTGAGCTATTCACATTCTTCCCACCCAACACGTCTCTGCTGCTCATTGCATGTTAAATAAGCTAAATGTATTATTGTATCTGTTTAAACTGCTAGCTGTTGTGGCTTTTAGTCTTGTGTTTTTCCCAACTCTCCTGTATATCATTTTGCTCACAGTCTCACCGCCGGCAGCACAACAAAGACAAGCCCTACAAATGTCACAACTGCAACCGTGGCTACACGGACTCTGCCAGCCTGGAGGTGCACCTGTCCACACACACCGTCAAACACGCCAAGCTGTACTCCTGCGGCCTCTGTCACAGATCCTACACATCGGTACGTTCTCACACCTCCATTAGCAGATACAGGGGGCAGCTGTGGCGTAGAGGAAGGGCAGCCAACTTGGAGCCAAAAAGTCACAGGTTTGACTCCCTGCCATGCCTATTTGTTGTGGCATCCTTGAGCAAGACAGCGACGAAGCGAAGATTCAACATGTCTGCTGCTTCCTTAGATAGAGAACTTTACTAATTGGCTTTTTTGTATGTGAATGTTCCTGTAAAGTGCCCTGAGACAACTCTGTTGTGATTTGGTGCTATATAAATCAACTGAATTGAATTATTCCCTCACTGCTCCACGGGCACTTACGTGGCTGCCCCTCTGCTCCACCTGAGTGCATCTCAGGTATGATGGGTCAAATGCAGAGCACTAATGCCATCATTGTATGGGAGTGTATAATGATGACAACACGTAGCACTTTCATACAGAGAAGATGGGCATGTAGAGGTGAGCAGTGACTCAGTAAAAAGTTATTTAGTGTTTTCAGCTCAATAATTAACAGAATGTGTTCAATTTGAAATGCATTCCTAAAGTGTTTCTGATTAGATGTCTATTAAGTGTCTTATATTTAAAATTTGCAAATACAATCTTATTAATATGGTTGCATACTGGTGTGTTGTTCTGTAGTCAGAATTTGTGCCATTTATCGCGGGGACTTTGATCAGTTGTAGTAAAAAAACAGACTCAAACACAAATGGGTCATTGAATCGAGAAAGTAATGATTTAAACAAGTAAAACAATTCTGTTTTAAGTTTTTTAAATATCTAACAAGAGAAATTGTATTTTCTGTGAAAATGTGTGAATGCTGAGAATTAAAAGGAAAGAAAATCTAGCTTAAATGTTCAAATTGTGACTAAAAAGTAAAAGTAGTGAAATGCTAGCTCAAAGCTAAAATTAGGAAAACCCAAATGAAACAATTTTAGTTTAATTTATTTTGTAAATAGAAAAATAAACACTTATTTTTATGCCAAACATTTGAATTCTGTTTCGTCTTTTGTGTTTGTTTTTGCAGGAGACATATTTAATGAAACACATGAGGAAGCATAACCCTGACCCGTTAACGGTGGCTGCAACTGTAGCTGCCCAGCAGGCCCAGGGTCTTACCCCAGGTACAGGAGGAGGCCGGGGCCGAGGCCGTGGTCGAGGCAGAGGAGGGGGTGGGAGAGGAAGCCAGCTGCAAAACCAGAATAACCCAAACACCAACCAGAGCCCTAATCCCGGACCCCCAGGCAGCTACCAGCAGAACCAGCAACCCTCAGAGGCCGTGGTTTCTTGTCCGTTTGATCTACACCAGTACAAAACGGTGTCGGCAAGTGAGATCCAGTACAAACCAGTCACTGTGGGCGACCTATCGGTGACCCATAAAGACCTTTGCCTAACCGTGTCCACGTCTGCCATACAGGTGGAGCACATGAACTCATAGGCTGCGTCCTCCCGCTCTGTTTGTGGGGTTACTAATGCCTGCAGTGTAAAAAGCTCCATACGAACTGTTCATTCATTATTATGGTCTTCTTTAACAATCAAAAGAAAACTGGCGAACGGGAGAAACTGTTTCCATCCTCATCAGTCATCTGGTTTTGACACTGGATTTCACAGTGTTGTGTTCATACTCTCTTTTAAGCAGCTCTCGTGGACATTGTGAAAAGGGATCGATCTATTGTATTGCAATACAATCAAAAGATAAAAGTCAAATTAATCAATTTCTGAAGCTTAAGTGTTGGGCACATTTGCTTGTTTGTTAGATTCAAAATGCTTCAGTGAGCAGAATTCACCTCCCTGGTTCCTCTCAGTAGAAGTTCTGGTTAAAGGTGGTGCCTCATTGGGCTGCGACTGTTGGAGACTTGTAGTGCCTGAAAATTGTGAGAAAATGTGCAAATTACACGTTGCAGCCCGACTGAATTGTGTTTTTGCAAGAAGTGACCAGAGGCAGCGTTTGGAAATTAAGGCCTATTTTTGTGTGCACATCTTGGAAAAGTTTTTTTTTTTTTTTTTTTTTTTGCTGTGCACATCATTTAGTTTGCTTTACGTCGTGCATTTTGAACACGTTTAAAAGTGGAGCGACAGGACTGCGCGTCAACGAGAACCCCTACGAACATTACAAGACGTTTTGGAGACTCGTGCCATTTGCCAGTTAGTCGCAGCCCAGTGAGATGCCACCATTACAGATGCCACCATTACAAGGTTTAATACTCGTCTAGTCAGAAGTTTAGACATAATCTTTCAAAAAACTCAAGCAGTTGTGTCCAATACTTTCAGGTGGTTCTGTACGTTTGTTTTGGAGCCACATTCTTGTTGTGAAATGTCTCAATTTGGCTTTTATGTATTTTAAAAGACCGTGATTTAATCCCAACCTGTATTTAAATTACTTTGTTTTAAAGTACTTATCCTAAACCTGCTCTTCTGCTCCGGGGCATCATTTGAGGCAAAAAAAAAAAAAAAGAATTGGAAAATGTCCATGAAATGAGGTTCATCTTAACAATATTTAGTTCAAGTGGAAACAAGGGAGAGAAAAGACAAGAAGTCATTACTGAAAGACTAAAAATATCAACAGAAGTGGCAGCATTTAATTTATCTGAAAACAAAGTTTTAAAGGCACTGTGAGACAAGCCTGAGAAAAGATCATGAACCTCAGAAAATTCGATGTAATTTAGGGAAGTATGGCTAATTTCTGCAACGACTTAAATGATTCATTTATTCCTCAGAGCCCAAAGTACTGACCAAAAGAAACCGAGCGGTTCAGGAATGTACTAAATCTGAGGAATCTGACGCAGAGTGAGGTGGAAACGAGAAACGGAGGAGTCCGAAAGAAAGCACTTGATGAAGCTTGTACTTCATGTACTTATGTTTGTCTTTTTTGTTTGTTTGTTTTTTCATATATATAAATCATGTTTGTATTTTTCTACCAACAGGATGTTGTGAACATACAGAGAAATAGTGCGTGCATGAACTTGATAAGAACTGAGAAAGATCCCTGATAAAAGTAGTTAAATTTCTTTTTTTTTATTCCAAGAGGCGAGTTGATCTTCCTCTAAAGAGTGAAGAGAGCCCAGCTTGTTGTCAGAGTGGCTGATGGGAAATAATGATTGTGCTAAACACAGCTGACAGGTACTGTTATCAACCTTTTCGTTTTTAAGAGCCTTTCATACATATTATTGCTACTTTTCATTATAACTGTAGTGCAAATGTTATCCACAGTATATTCACTCTGAGGCATTATGGTATTGCAGTATGCTGTACATAAAATAGATAGAAAAGACTTTTTCATCTGTAAAAGGGAAGTATGTCTTGTGTACAGAATATCTGAAAACAACAAAAAATACCCCGTGTGTATAAATTACTGGTGACGTCCCAGGTTGATCCATGTTCGGCTGCATAAAAGTTATAAATTTATGTTCTAAAAGAGATATATATAGAATTTTACAGCACCATACACAAACAGATTTTAATTTGAATGAGTGACCAAAGTAAAAATATCAGGTCCTGTTATAAAGAGAATTAAAACCCAATTTATTTCAATCACCCGCTGATACATGTGTTTGTAGTTTAATTATTTTTATTAAGAATTTGTTCACAAATTGTTGTGGTGCTGTTTAAAAGTGAACCACTGTGATCAGAAAAGCCCATTTTTGCCAAACGTAAATAATCCGAGAATATAATTTAAAGATTAAAAATGTGACCTGGGACACTAAGCTGAAAACATTCGGACAGCCTGTACAACAAGCCAACGGTCTAAATGTATAATCTACCTTGTATTTTATTGTCTTTTTATGAAAAAATAACATAGCAATGCTCGGTGTAATACAGTTATTAACTGACCTATGTTACACTCTTTGCAGACTGTATGCAGTTAAACCTCTTACTCATCTGAACAGACTGTTTCTTCCCCTATGAAGAATAAAATTCAAAAACTGTTTATGATGGGGAACCATCACTCTCTGATGTATTTATTTTAACATCACACAATGATGAAGGCTGAGGGATAATCTATCTGTGTGTGTTTGTGCACTGTTAGCAAAATATCTTCTGGACTAGTAGATGGATTTGAATGAAACGCTCAAAAAGTACAAGTCAGCTGATTAACTTTTGGAGGCACTCCAGTTCAAAGTGGCCACCACAGCTAATCAACTATAGCTAAAACAAAACATTTCTATAATTAAATCTGTTTCAGTTATTGATCTAAAACGTAGTAGCCAATTACATCTCGCGAGATGTGTCTGGATGGGGCGGGAATGTTAAAACTGGCATAAAACGCAGCTAGGCTTATAATTTATTTATTTTAATCTGCATGTTGTGTGTAAAGATGTGTGATTACAAAAGATTTCCGACAAAATAAAAATAAAAGTTGTGCTAGCTTGCTTTGTTTTGTAGCATTTGTGGACGCTAATTCAAACCGATTTGGGTAAGTTCGTTTAGTCTCTTTCCGTGCGCGTTTAGAACGGAGTTTACCCTTAAATCAACGCTGCAGCGCCTCATCGGCACGCAACTTTACACAAAACAAGCGCTCACTTTTAACAGAGGCGGAGACTACGCCGCCTCAACCAATGGGCGTTGCTCATTAAATGCGCTCGAAGACCTCAGTTCCAGTTTAAAATTCAAACGGTCAAAGACGGATTTGGAAACAGCTCTTTTAAATTAGGTACTGTATTTGCTTTTCTTTTTCAGACTTCATTACCATGCCCTTCTAGATTAATGCATACTTGTAGAAAAACATAATACTGTTGTGTTGTAAGGTGAGGTGTAATGTAACGTAGCTACTTATTGAAGCCAGCGACGCGACAGACTAAATAAAATGCACGTTGGTTTTTGACCAAATGGTTTAAAATTACGATTTCGAGCTAATCTAGTTAAAAGTTCCCCAACATGAATTTATTCATGTAAAAGTCTCGATTTAGTCAATTTGCGATTTAAAAACCAAGTTTCACTTCACTTGCTGATCTATTTCAAAGCAGTTGACACGCCTATAATAATTATTGTCATCATGGTTGTGTTTTTTACTTTAACTTGATTATTTTTCTTGTTTTATTAATCATCAAACAAATGCAGACTAACTTCACATCATCAGTGTTTCTTCGAGTTGTAGACTTGTCTAAATAGCAAATGCAGTTTCCCTTGAGTTTTAAAATGTTTTATCAATTACTATTGTTTGCTTTGTCATTTATTAATGCGCTTACTCCTTTAAAAATGTGTATTTTTAGTTGAATATTGTGGTTTTGTTGAAACTACTTTTATATAAATAGATCCATAGTGTGATTTTTAAACCTGGTTAATGATTTTTAATGTGCATTGACAGAATATTTACTGAAAATCAACACGAACATTAATAAAAGTTGGATTATATTTTTATTACATGTCTGTATTTTTCAAGTATTGCTGGGTTTTTCCATAAAACAGACGCTCACGCCCGTGATGTAATGTTGATCACATTGCTGCTGTTTGTGATTGTTTATATTGACCATGTGTTGTGTCTTCGTCCTCAGCTGACCATGTCCCGTTTGCCCGTCATGTCGTCCAAAAGGGTTCTCACGAGCAGCAACTCTGAGAATTTGCACGATTTGGCTCCTGCTCAGGTTTGTATTAAAATGATCCACATAAATTTCACCTGTCTTGATTATGGTTGTTTTTCCCTTTCTGCTTCTTTACGTCAAGCACTTCGCAGAACTTCTTGTCATCTTCTACAAGTTTGCTTAACGTAAACTATTGTTGAACCTGACTTTGTGCTGCGTGGGTTTGTTTTTGTAGAAAAAGATGCGTAAAGACACCGAGTCGCACAGACCACAAGCTGCTGCCACGGTGATCGGAGACAAACGTCCTCCTGCAGCAGCCAGAGCATCTCTTTGTGAGTTTTGTCATCACTTATGAACTTGGAGAATCCTTTATGTTTATCTCCAAAGTTCAGAGAGCAGCAGAGGTTCTCTATAGCTGTATTTTTTTTTAAATCTGATGTTTTTATGCTTGTGCATGTTTCTTCTGATCATCTTTACCCCACACAGACAGACCAATCAGAGGTGCGGGAGCTGCCACAGTTGCTGCTGGTCCTTCCAGAGGTAAGATGCATTCACAGTTTATTAATGAGGTGATAACGCTGCTGTTCCATGATTACGCCTGATGAATTCCTTGTTTTATCAGCTGTCGTGAAACAGCCTGCAGCTTCCACTGCTCCAAAAGGTGCCACCAACACAAAACCACCCGCTGGTGCAAAAACAGGTGAGTTTATTTTTGGGTTTTATTTTTAATGAAACTAGGACCCTAAATGTTAAATATGCTGATGCATGCTCAATAATCCAAGTAGAAAAATCTAAAAAAAAAAAGTTAAATCTGGTCCTCTGGGCTGAGGAAGTCTTTCGGATGAAAGACGAAACGTTTCTACAGTTTGTTTTGTTTTTTGAATGTCCAGAGGACCAGATTTAACGTTTTTAGACATCAGCATAACAATTGATCGCTGGTGCCCTGATGGCCACTTGCTATTTGCAGAGGGCTAAGTGATACTTTCAATAAATACTTGCGGTCACTCAGGGATGAAGATGTTCACATCCTGGACAGAGACGAACGATGGTTTGAGAGGAGTGAAGGAGGCCATCTTTGTGAAAAGAAACCCTCCATCATTAAACAGGAGCGGTTCAACTGTCCCCCTCTTACAATGCTGTGATTGCTAGTATCACTCAACCCCCTGTGAACAGTAAACAGCCATCAGGTGCTAATGATCCATCGTTAGGCTGATGGTCCTCCTTCATTATGTGAACAGCTAGTTCTGGATGTCAGCAGCAAATAAAGGTAAATAAATAAATAAGACTGAGTTTAGTTCAGCTCCTCAGATTGACGGAGGTCTTTTAGATAAAAGACAAAACGTTTCAACAAGAATCCGTCCAGAGGACCTGACTTGACTTTGTTTTGAGTTGAGGTTTAATTATAATTCACCTGAAATGTTTATTTGGAGAAACTATCAGCGCAATTTTTTTGTTCTTTGTTTTACATAAAAGCTTACCGGTAAATGATTCCGTTTGTTGCGCTTTTGTGTGTCTTTATTCTGACAATAAGAACATTTTAAACGCGGACCGACCGTAGGGGAAATCTAAATAAATTACAGAACCTGTTTTCATCATGCCTGGACACCTGTCCAACTTGTGACGCGGTTTCAGGAAGTCAAAGCAAGATCCAGAAATAATCTTGGGGACAAAGGCAATAAGTGGCTTTGCATTATTTTATTTTTTATGGTACTCTAGTAACACCCCATGAGAAATTCATTCTGCATTTTCCCCCATCGCACATCTGGAGCAGAGAGCTGCCATCTTTGGTGCCCGGGAGCAGCTGGGGGTTTAAGGGCTTCGCTCAAAAGCCCACAATGGAGCAAGTGTGGGTGCTTCACCTTTCCCACCCCCATTTTTAATATAACATTCAGAGGATTTGAATGATCGCCTTCTCTAACCTCTGTGCCCCCAACCCCCCGGGGACTATTAGTTCCTATAAACCTCAGTTAAGTGATGGACGTTATGCACAAAACCAAAACTGCTGAATAGAATCGATCTAATCCATTTTTAATTTTCCTTCATTGATGAATGAAAAGACTTTCAATGCTCCTGTGTACAGGAGGGACTGGGGCCCCCCGGCGTCATGCATGGGATCTGAAGGGCAAGGTGAGTGATATGGAGGGCAAAATGCGTAACTACCAGGCCAAGATCAAATCCGTAAACGAGGAGAACGGAGCGCTCAAAGGCTCGGTGGTCCAAACCCAATCCAGGATGGCTGAACTCGAAAAGAAGGTTGAGACCCAAAAGAGCAAAATCAGGTTCGAGGGAGACGCTTTTCAAAATCAAAATTATTTTTATACGTTGGATTTAATAAAAAAAAAAAAAAATCCCTTCAATGATGATTTTGTTTTCGTCATATAGCGAGTACGAAGTGGAGCTTCAGGCTTTGTCCGGTGTCCGAAAAGAGCTTGAGAAAGTGTCAAGTGAGAAGAGCGTCCTTGAAAAGAAGCTCTGTAACTTGGAGGAATCTTTCAAAGCTCTGGAGACTCTGCGGAACAGCCAGGAAGCAGAGCTGCAGGCCACGAAGGTAAAGGGCCTCCCATTGAGCACACGCGCTTAAATGCTGGTATTTATTCATTTGACGACCATGACCTGTTTAAATGGATTTAGTAACAGATTTGATTCTTTTTGTTTCGCTTCAGATGAAATTATCTGCTCAAGAGTCGACAGTGGACCGTCTGCAGACTAACCTCAGAAGCGCTGAAGAAGAGGTCTGCTCTCTAAAAGAAGCCGTGGCCCAGCAGGAAGATGAACTCCATGCTGGAGAGATGGAGCGCAGACGGCTTCATAATATCATCCAGGAACTCAAGGTGAGTTACCGCGAGCTTCAACACGACCAAGAAGTACTGGTACCCCAACACACTCTCAGATACGCATCCTTTAGGACCGTCTGTCCATTGTTGTCATCACTCTTTGTTAAAATCAGGTCTCTCTTGTAAATGAGTCCCCGAGGCTCAGTGGGGTTAACTTGTTTAAATAAAGATTGAATGAATGAAAAGGATGAGGGTGTTTGAGCCACAGGAACATTTCTCTAGTTCTTATAACCATTTAAGACACTTCCTATTTATTTTGATGTGTGATAAAGGAACTGGTCCTTTGAAGTTCTTATAACTTGTTTTAGGGTCTTTTTAGCACCTTACTGTCTATTAATTTGAGATCAATCTTTTTCCTCTCCGTGCTTTGATTTATCACACTGTTCGGACGTTTTCTCCTGTAAATCTTTGGGAATCCTCCACTCATGAAATGACCTTTTCTTCCAGGGAAACATCAGGGTGTTTTGCAGAGTCCGCCCCCTCGTGGATGGAGGACCGAGCGGTCACATCCAGCTCGCAGCAAAAGACAACAAGTCGATCCTGCTGGCCAAAACTGAGGAGGTCAGACTCGTATCAGAGAATTGTTTTATTCTCTATAACAGCCACTTTTTTTTATCAAACATTAAAAAAAATAATGTCTGAGCTGTGAAGTTGCTAACTTGTCATCAAACCCTGACATCGTCACAAAAGCAATTTGGTTTGTGTTGTTGAGAACTTATCTGTGAATTCTGCTTTTTTCTGCTCGTCAGTCTCACACCGGAAAAACTACAGAAACTCAGAAGAACTATCATTTTAGTTTTGACCGCGTGTTTGGGCACCAGGCCTCGCAGCAGGAGGTAGATATGAACCGACCAGATCAAAGCGTTCTCATCTCACAGGAATAAACTTCACGATTACTTTTTTATATCTTCCAGATTTTTGATGAAATCTCCCTCCTGGTTCAGTCGGCCCTGGATGGCTATAACGTTTGCTGTTTCGCTTACGGTCAAACGGGAAGCGGGAAAACCTACACCATGGAGGGGGAGGAGGTTGACGACTGCATGGGAGTCATTCCGAGAGCCGTGCGACAAATTTTCAGATCTGGAGAAAAGCTGAAGTCTCAGGGCTGGGAGGTTGGTAAAATAATAAAACCTGAAAATTATTTCCAGAAATACTAATTTCACAGAACTTGTAATAAACTAGTGTCTGAGATGTGGCAGCTTTGATAACGAGAAGACCTCATCTTTACCATCTTTTAACACGGGGACGTTTCTGTTTGAATCTCAGTTCTCCTTCACCGCCAGCTTCGTTGAAATTTACAACGAGACCCTGCGAGACCTTTTGTACACCGGCAAGTCCAACAAAAGACCCGAGCACGAGATCAGGAAGACCTCGAGCAACGAGGTGACCGTCACCAACCTCACCTATAGGAAGGTTGACGTAGAGGATCAGGTACGTCCTGGTCACCCAAGTTATTTGTGTTCGGCAGCTAAAGTTGAGATCTACAAAAGTCACGTCATTTTAACCTGATGGTCAAGAATCAATAATTTAGCCTGCATGCTCTTTCTCTGGCGTTATCCGTTTTATTCCTATAAATAAATTGGTCTCGCCGTCTCCTGCCAGGTTTTTGACCTCATCGCTCTGGCCAAGCAGAATCGTGCCACGGCCCAAACGGCCCAGAACGACCGCTCTTCCCGCTCCCATTCTGTATTCCAGCTGCAGATTGAGGGGGCGAACACCGGGCGGGACGTTAAATGCAAGTGTGAGTATTATATCGCTGATTCTGTGGTTTTAGTTCCACTTTGGCATTTGAAATGTCTGCAAGATTAAATCAAGTTACAGGAAGTGTCCTGTCGAGGTTTTTGAAACTGTTGGTTCTCATGCGTTTGTTGCTTTTTGTCCTGTAGCCGCTCTTTGCCTGGTGGACCTGGCAGGCAGCGAGCGGATGGTAAAGAGTCAGTGTCAGGGAGACCGCTTCAAGGAAATGACCTCCATCAACAGCTCCCTGTCCAACCTGGGCATCGTCATCGCTGCTCTGGCCAACAAGGTGAGTCAACTGGGGCCCAAAACGACAAACAATGGGCTCGGTTCTGGAGAACTGGACTTCTAACTGTTCATTTGTGAATGAAACAAACTTCGTGTTTCAGGAGAGCCACGTTCCTTACCGCAACTCGAAGCTTACGTATCTTCTGCAGGACTGTTTAGGAGGAAACAGTAAAACGTGAGTTTTTATTTTTAACATGCGGTCACCAAAGTGTACTTCTGCACAAACTTACATCGGATCAGCACAAAAAAAGTTAGATCTTATAAAAGACTGTAAAATTTATGAGTAAACAGGAGTAGAATGATTTGCTTTGTGTCTTCAGCCTGATGTTCGTGAACATTTCTCCTGAGCCGGACAGCTTCGGAGAAACACTCAGCTCCCTCAGGTTTGCGAGCAAGGTCAGTGACATCTGGAGTAATAATTCTTATCGGCCGTTTTCAGGCTGCCTTTAGGAAATTATGACTTTATTTATTTATTTTCATACATTTCTCTGAAACCTGACTGTGCGATGTCTTTGCAGGTCAATGATTGTGTAATTGGGACAGCAACCTCGAACAGGAAGTAAAGAACTCGATCGAATACTTTTTTTTTCTCCTACTTTTAGTATTTTAATCTCACCGTGAAATATTTATGGGTTTATTTGACGTGTGTTGTACAGTTTGGTACAAACTCATGCCAGGTTTTTAAATACCAAAGGTTTTTGTCTTCTGGTGTAAATACAGTACGGTAGTTTTTTTTCCTCTTTAGAAATCATAAAAATCTGTTTCATCAGTTTTACATTCCAGTTTTAATCAATTTTATTATTGGAAAAATCATAATCTGTTGTGCTGAATGTTTTTGTATTGTTTTATTGTAATAAAGACGTGTAGAACATGGTATACTGTACGGATGTTTTCTGCTACTTTCTCTAGGCTACATGAAGGTAAACTATTTAAAAAAAACATGCATCCTTTTTATTTATGACATTTCTCTTTTTTTATATTTTGAAGTGTTTTTAATTACCTTGAACAGTTTGGGCATTTAAGGTGTTTTTAATTTTTCGTGGTTTTATATTTTTACTAATTTATTTTTTTCCTCATTGAAATAAGTCCTGAACTTCATTGTTCCGTCCTTTTTTTTTTTTTTCCAATTAAATTAATTTGTCATTTGCAGTGATTTTAATTACTTCAAGCAAATCTCAGTAAAATGCTGCAAAAATACATTTATCTGGCTTCAGTGTACGGTGTAAAAGATAAATAAAGAAAATGTGAGTAACCTCCAGGTGTTTAGCACAGGTATCCTTACTTCTTATGTCTCGTTAAAGTTTCATGTTCAGTATTTGCTGTTGGATTTTCTGTCGGCCAAAGTCTGGCTCGTCTGTCTGGACTCGCCTTAAAGGCGACGCGTCCGAGTGCCGCCGCAGAAATCTGATTTTACTGAAGGTTTCCTGAAACATGCTCCTGAAAGTCCCGGTCCTGGATCAACAGGCGGCTCGGTCTGCCTTCCTCTGCCCCACAGACTGGACCTCCGAGGCCGGCAGAGCCTGAAACGGTGAGCCGAACCCGCTTTGTTTGTTTTGGACCACCCGTCGGAGCTAACGGCAGCTAGCATCATGCTAACGTCACATCTGTAATGGAGTGATGGGAGTGACGGTTCCTCTGGCACAGTCAACAATCAAACGTTTTCAAGGCTTGGCGTTTAACCTGCAGCTTTGTTGTCATCACACAAAAGGGTCTCCGTGCTCCAGATGTTGTTTATTTCATGCATTCTGCAACAAAAGTCTCGTTTTCTGTCATTTAAACAGATAAAATGTGCATCTTTATGAAAGTACAGTGAAGCAGCTCCCCATGATGTTCTGTTCTAATCATCTGGACATTTACTGTAATTAATGAAACCTGGAGAATTAAAACAGCTGCTTCCACACAGTCTAATCGTTCAGGTTGATATCTGGTTAATTCTGCAGATTATTTTGGGTTAATATTTAATCTGTAAATTACCAGCCACATCTGGATTTATCATCCCATCTCAGTGGTATATAAACATTTGGGTTATCCTGGGATTAAAAAAAAAATTTAAATTAATGTTTAAATAGGTGAGTGTTTAAGTTTAAGAGAAACATTCACTTTAACAGAATATTTCATATTTCCCCCCCAAAAGAAATTAGATTGTTCTGGAATTTATTAAAAGAAAATGTTTAGTCATCTGAAAAGTTGAAACTAAAGTTTAGAAAATCTTTAGAGACTGAAATGTGTTTTTCCTGTCAACTACCAGTAAGTAAAGCTCCACGATCCAGAGATCCTTAAATAAATCATTAGTTTCAGATTATTAATAAACTTGCAGTTGCTTCTTTTCCATTAAACTGACTTTTTTAAAGTTTAGTAACTTGTAATAGGAGTTTATTTTTGTTCTGCCATGGTTTATGTTGTTTATATCAGGTTAGAAATGTTCTGGTTATGTTGCATCTGATTTAAATAGTCTGAATTTCAAATTTAAGTACTGCTATCAGTTATTTGTAATTAAATTTTCCGGCTGCTGCAGTTCAAAGCAACACAGAACTCATCGTAAACTGAAATCGGTCGGTGCATTTCATCATAAATCATCTACAGTGATGGTTTCATCCTACACTTGTTGAGTTAGGATGCCGGAGTCTAAAGGTTGATCCCCACGTTGCACTCAGAAGTTGTTTTTATAGAAATCATCATTAATCTGAATGTGATGCTGCTGGACTTCCTGTTTGTGTTTCTTTAAACTGCTTCACCTCTGACCAGCCGTCCACGGACTCCAGTGACCCCTTTAGTGGGATTCCCCCAAAATTAAACGCCTGAAACTCCCAATCCATGATCAGAATCAAATATTTCAGTTGAGGCTTGAAATGTCTTAAAAAAAAAAAAAAAAGTCTATTTTTGTTCAACTCTTGGAGTTGCCAGGTCCAGGATGGACGAGAATCTTCATCAACTAATGACTCATTTTGTTCTGTTGAAAACACTAGAAGTCAATAAAGCTTTTGTTAAATCATCCAGATGCAGTCGATGCCCATGGAGGTGGGAAGCAGCAGCAGCTCAGGTGGCCCAGTGGTGCAGGTGAGCTTCCCCAGCGCTCAGGCCTCGGTTCTGGACGGCCTGAACCGTCAGAGAGAGGACGGCAGCCTCTGTGACCTCTCCATCCACGTCCAGGGACACGTGTTCAAGGCCCACCGCTGCGTCCTGGCTGCGTCCTCGCCGTACTTCCACGACCAGGTGGGCGAGCGGATGTCTAACAAATGGAGTCGCACTAAAACTGTGGAAACTTTAGCAGTTTATTGGATTATATCAGTCAGGATCAGATTAAATTCTCAGTATCCTGCAGACATGACCCAAGATTAGAGATTTTACAAGATGTTCCTGTAACGTTCTGACCACCTGTGTCCAGGTTCTGCTGAAGAACATGTCGACGGTCTCCATCCCGGCGGTGATGGACCCGCTGGCCTTCGAGAGCGTTTTGAGCTGCGCCTACACCGGTCAGCTTCGAATGCTGCGAGACGACATCGTCAACTACCTCACCGTGGGCAGTGTGCTGCAGATGTGGCACATCGTGGACAAATGCACCGAGCTGCTGAGGGAGGGCCGCGCTGCAGCCACGGGGGGTGGAGGAGGAGCAGCAGCACAGGAAGGAGCAGGAGGAGGTGAAAGGTCAGCCAACTCTGGGTGTAGCAGCAGCAACACTGAGGGTGATGCTAACAGAGCTGGCAGCACAGGTGGTGTCCAGGTTGTGGAGTCCGATGAACCCCAAAGAGCCCCCCAAGTCCCCAGCCGGCCCTCAGTGAGCGAGAGCCAGTCCCCCAGCAGCACCAACTACTTCAGCCCCCGAGACGGGAGCGGCTTTGGAGGAGGTGGAGCAGCTGCAGCGGGGGCTTTGGTGGACGGAGGCAGAGCCAGCAACACCCCCAGCTACTGCACCCCCTCAGGAGGAGAGGAGGCTCTGCTTATTGAGGAGGAGGAGGAGGATGAAGAGGAGGAGGCGCTGTACCACCAAAGGAAGAGAGGAAGAGGAGGAGGCAGCGGAAGGAGGAAGAAATCGAGCTCCGTGTTGGAGCAGGAGGTCGGGGTCAGCGACAGCTTCGGTGTTTCCTCCTACCAGGTGAGTGAACCAGGAAATAAACTTTACGTAAACATTGACGAGTAATTCAAAAGTCTATTTTGTTTTCACCTAACTGTCCATCAATAATCAATACGCTGCAGTTTCACTTTACTGCCGCGAAGCTGCTTTAAAGCAGGAAATTAAAACTTTTTTTATTCTCCCGTTCAGACTCATTTATTTAAAAAAGTTGCAGGTTTTAATCAAAGTCAAATCATTTATCGTTTATATGTAAACATTAATAAATAACAGATCTTAACATAAAAATGTCCCTCTGGAGGACGGGGAGGACTCGGCGATGTCCCCACAGAAGCGTCCCACCTACAGCCAGCCCAGCATCATGCCCCGCAAACAGTGGGTGGTGGTGAAAACTGAGCGCGCCGAGGACGACGACCTGATCGTGGTGTCCGGGGAGGAGGCAGGAGACGACGAGGAGGACGAGGATGAGAGGGAGATGGAGCTGGTGGCACAAGACAGGGAGAGGGGCAACTTCAACATTTCAAACGTCAGGAGCCTTTCCAACGAGCTGGGGGGCCGAGCGGAGAGCGACATGGACTCACAGGTGAGCTGGATTTATTGTCAGGGATTGTTCAGGGATGAAATGGTCCTGATGAAAGATGAAAAATGGCAATTTGATAAAAAGTGGTGCTGTATTTTAGATGACCACTAGAGGGAGCTAAAGTAACCAGATTAAAAAGAAAAACTTATTTTACATCTTAATTTCCAAAATTTGTTAATAAAAAAATAACATAAGTACTATGTAACTACCTTTTTTAAATTCTGTGAAATATTAAGAGGTTTTAAAATACTCCCAAAATTGTCCTGAAACGAGTTTTTGATTAATGGCTGATTTAGTAACTGGGACTCTGTATACACAATTTTGTTCCACTACATGTACCACTTGTGGTGCAAATGACAAAGAAACTCTGACTCTTAGTGAAGGAATAATATATTTTTATTTGTGGAGAAATTACAAAAATCTGACGGAACGTGGTGCTGCTTCAAATAACCACTAGAGGGCGCCAAAGGTTCACAGTTAAATTGAAAAGAACTCTAAGAATTTCCTACAACATAAATGGGTTAAAAATAAAATAAGTACTATGTAATTAACTTTCCTTTTTTTAAATTTGGCTAAATGTTCTGATCACCAAATTCCATGTTCAATATTCCAGGTATAAAATCCAACAATTTTCAGTCAGGTCAGCTGGATGGTTTCTTTTATTGTGCTGAGACGTTTCAACTTCCATCCAGAAGGCTTCATCAGTCTGAGGAAACGCCAAACAAAAACTGCTTCTGTCCCAACAGCTTACTCCAAAGCAGAAAAAAAAGTTTTTAAATCCTCCCAAACTTGTTCTGGAAGTAGTTTTTTTTACTCATGACTGGATCCTAAATCTCTCTCTGTACAGGTGGACTACTGCCAGACTTCAGAAGACTACCTCAAGTTTGAAGGCAGTCTGATGGAACAGACCTTAGCTCAACACCTTCATGACAACACTGCAGGTCAGAACCAGAACACCAGCCGGGCAGTTTCAGCTCTGCTTGGCCAGGTTCAGTCTGCAGCCTCGGCCCGGGCCCAGCTCTTGCCGCTGGACATGCAGGGGAACCAGATCCTGCTCTACAACCAGGCCTCCGGACTCTCCATGGATTCTGCCACTCCTCCACTGGGGATGGCAGGAGGGATGATGGGGGGAGCCTCCTTCAAAGGTTCTAGTTTGGAGCACGGAGCAGTCCATCTGCAGGCTGTTTTGGGGGCTGATGGTCCAGACGGTGGAGGGGCTGGAGGCAGCTGCAGCGGTAGTAGCACCGGTGGATCAACGAAGGTGTTTATGTGTCACTGTGGGAAGACATTCACCCATAAGAGCATGAGGGACCGACACATCAACATGCACCTGGACCTGCGGCCGTTCCACTGCCCCGTCTGTGCCAAGAAGTTCAAGATGAAGCACCACCTGACGGAGCACATGAAGACCCACACCGGCCTCAAGCCGTACGACTGCCTCAGCTGCGGCAAGAAGTTCATGTGGCGCGACAGCTTCATGAGGCACCGCTCGCACTGCGAGAGGCGTGGCGGGCCGGGGGACGGAGGAGACGGAGGGGGAAGTGGTGACAGAGGGAGGCGAGGAGGGGGTGGAGGTGAGGATGGGCCAGATTTTAGTTCCTCCCCTCACCACCTCCTGTCTCCAGGTGAAGGAGGACGGAGCAGCGTCCTGGGAGGAGGAACTCTGGTGCCTCAGCACGGCGCTGGTGCGGTCACAGGAAGCATCAGCAACACGGTGGCTGCTGCAGGGGCACTGCTGGGGGTGGTCTCTCAGAGTCCGGGTCAGAATCAGGGGCCGGGGATGTTTGGAGGTCTGGGTGTGTGTGATGAAGACGTGTGTGAAGTCAGTCCGGATGAAAGCAGCATGACTTAAACCAGAGTTCTGTTTTATCTAAGGGGGCTTTGGTTCTTCTGGTTCCTGCTGCAGGAAGCAGCCCGGTCCTCTTCCAAAAGACTTTGAAGCAGTTTGTTAAGGATGGGGCTGCTGTTGAGCACATCCTGATAAATCGGACGCTTAGATTCTGAAACCGTTTCGTCTGAAGTTTCCACATCTGTGGCACCGACTTAAAGTGACCTCGTCTGAACAGACCTGCTCTCCGAGGAAAATCATTTGTTCTATTTCATCCCTGACCGCCAGTGGGCGGTGCTGAAAGCACTGAATGTTCCCTTTGCGCATGCGCTGTTCGAGTAGTAATCCCAACAGGGTCACAGGTGTGACACGGATGACCAATCAGAGGCCTGACGTCATCCGCGGCTCTGCTCCTTTTTTCTTCTCGCGCCCGGTTCAATTCAGGGTATCAGCTCTTTGGACCTTGGGCCTTTTCTCTGTCGTCGGAGGCCCGACTGTCCGTTGGCTGGAGTAGCACGTTCGCCCTCCTAGGGGCTGCCACGGTTTAGCCTTCGTTCAAGGTATTTCTGCTGTTCGTTGGGGACTACAGCAGTTTTCGCCCCCCTCCCAACTTGCAGCGTCTGACTATTGTGTGTGTGGTTCAACACTGGTGAGTAGTCTTTTTACTTATATTTTGCCTTGGTTAGCGGTAGTGCTACGCTCACGTTTGTTTTTATTTATTTATTTATTTAATTTTTTGCTCCCGTTTGTTGGAGGCTTCCAACCGCGTGGTCAGTTTGTATCGTGCTCCGAAGTTTGTTGTTGCTTACGTAGCCAGCTGAGTTCCTGGCCTTGTTTTGATTGGTGAAGGCGAGCATCCGTGCTTCCTCTCCCAATCGTTTTCACCAGCCTCCTAGACTGTTGGACTGAGCTAGCGGTGCTAGCCTTTCTGAGTTCTAGCCTGGTTTAATTGGTGAAGGCAAGCATGCGTGCCCCCTCTCCCAATTCTCGACCTGTCCTCTCATCCTTGTTTTCATCCTGTATCCTGGATGTAGATGGCGGTGCCAGCCCTTTTGTTGAGTTGCAGATTTTTTATTTTGAATGATGTGGCTAAACTGCCTACAGTAAGGAGCATGGACGGCTCTCACTGCTGCATTGATTGTGGGGTCGTGCTCCAGGCAGATGGCGGTCATGATCTGTGTCCTGCCTGCCTTTAGCATGACCATCTGGTGGAGGCTCTGTCAGAGAACCCCTAAATGAACTGCAGCTTCATGTCTCGTGCCGTGAGGGCGGCTCAGCTGGCCCAGTTTCACCCCGAGCTGGGCAGTGACCTCCCGCCTTCTGGGCAGGAGGCCCCACCTAGGCGCTCAAAGCGCCGGACTGAGGCCACAGTCTCTGTGGACCCTCCTAGGAAAAGGCGAGCCAAGTCTGATTAGGGCCTCTCCACGAGGGTGGAGCAGTTGTCCGCAGAATTGGCAGAGATGAAATTCCTTTTTCCAAGTACACCAACTGGGGGCTGAGCCAGTGGCAGCGACCAGACTCTCCTCCCCACCCATGCCTGAGCTGGCTGCGGAGGAGGATGTGTTATCCTAGGCTGCCTCCGCCTCTCACTTTTTAAGGGAGAAGGAGGGGCAGTCATCTTGGGCCCACGGTCTTTTGTGCCCAGTGAGAGCACTGGAGGCGTATGTTGCAGCTACTCCCATTATACCACGTTCAGACCAGCTGTTTGTGTGTTACAGAGGCCCTAGGTTAGGCTGTCCTCTTTCCAAACAGCGCCTCCCGCACTGGATCGTGGACGTCATCTGCCACATCTGCGCCGCAGGGTATGGCCCCCTGCCGGTCGGCATGAAGACGCACTCTACCAGGAGCGTCTCCACTTCCTGGGCGGCCCTGAGAGGGGTTCCACTGGAAGCAATACGTGCTGCCGCATCATGAGCTTCCCCAAACACGTTCACCCGATTTTACAACGTTAACGTGGCCACCCCTCATCCCATGGGCCAGGCTCTCCTGCAAGGGTCCTCTGGACCTCCTCAGTGAGGTGTGTGCTCAGGATTCTTTGAGACATCGTTGGTATTAGTTATTCAGTGCTTACAGCACCGCCCTATGGCGGTCAGGAGGGATTCATCGAACCGTGGTTACATACGTAACTTTCGTTTTCTTCTGTCTGTGCTTCTGTTGAGAGGAAACCAGAATTCTCTGGATCTCTGAGTAAAATCGTTCCACCTGGCTGATCTTCTGCAGTTGTTCTGTGACCTGCCGGTGTGTAAAACAGCCTTTAAGACAAATTAAACATAGGAAAAATATATACAAATGTGTTATTTTTTTTTAATATAAACACGACAACTACTAGATCTGAAAGCTGCAGGAAAGAGATAGATTTGAGTTTCTCACATCGTTGGTGGTGGATTTTCTTTTTTTAAACTCCATGTTTCATGGAACAGATCTGTCAAACTGAGGCTGTTGTGATTTTTAGTTTAATCTTGATCTCAGTCTCGTGTGTTACAATTTTTTTAATTTAAAGTCACATTAACCATCAACGTGAGGAAAAAAAAAGTTGGATTTGTTTATTTTATATTAAATACCTTTAATTATATTTATTGTCCTGTTATCTTACACTGGTTTAAATGTCCTGCAGTGGTACTAATACATGTTAACCTGTAACCATGGCAACAGAGCTGATGTTTACAAGGTTTCTTTCAAAATTAAACTAGTTCTCTGGACCAGCAGCACCTCATAAGTGATATAACTATATTATATAGTAATAATTGACTAGAAAATTAATATTTAAATTGCAGAGGTTTTATTTTGGTTTCCTTGCAGAGCTGCAGATTGTCCACTGGGGGGCGCTGTTCAGTCGTTTTCAAACACTCAACTAAAACAGAAACGTGGTTTTTATTTTTATTAGTTTTAAATGCCTATTTTAAAGGAACTCTGCCCACTTGTGTCCATATCTGGTACTAATACTGACTGATGATGGAAACAAACATTTTAATGTGAAAACTGTTTTTAATCACCACATGTTAAGATGTAAAAACGTTTTTGTTGCTGCAGAACCAAGCAGTCAGTGGAGGAACATACACGACGCAGAACCTCAAAACTTTGAAGCCTTCAGAGATATTTTACACGTAGAGTCATAGATTTAATATTCTGCCTTCTGTGAAGGTTCAGTTTGGATGATTTACCTGCAGGTTTGAGTTTTCAGTCTGGATGAGATGTTTGTGAAGTGCTTCCTTCTTTGTGTTTCTGTCATTTTGTTGTTTGTTACAGAGGAAACTCTGAACGACAAGTAAATGTTTGAGATGAGCTCGGTAACGTTTTCATCCATTTAAACTGTGCAAACGCTGTAAGGTGTAAATATCTGCATATAGAGATTAATGTCACTGAAAATGAACACGAGAGGAAGATGACAACACGTGTTTTCTGACAGAAACGTACTTAAACTTGAATTTACAGATTTTAAATTTATCTTCCACCAAGAAAAAAAGTCCAACATTGTATATTTCTGTAGTATTTAGATGTTTGAAACATTTTGCCTCAGAGTTAAAGCTCACGTCAGAACATTAAAACCAGGGTTGAATCTTCCTGCAGAAAATAATCCTGTTGTTGTTGCGTCACTTCCTAATCCTGCAGCTTCGTCCTTCCTCTGAAACCAACGACGAACCAAAGACGGATCATTTTAGTTTCTGACCACCTCTTGATGCTTTTTAAAATTATATTTGTGCCGTTTGTTTCTGCTTCGTCTTTAGCAGGTTTAAGGATCATTTTTAAAATGTCAGAGCTGCTGCTGAAAACTTCACTGAAGTGTTTTGATTTTTGCACATTAAATAAAGTTACAGAACATTTATTCAAACAGTTTGACCTGTTGGAGACGCGACAAATGAGTGGAATTAAACCGTGAATCAATATTAACCTCTTCCATGTACGAACACTATGGACTAATAAATTATCTGAGAAATAACCGACGGCTCCGTTTGTTTTTATTTATCCTGTAATTAAAACACAAGTAGATGAAGAATTAGCACAAAGATCTAAAATGAATTCAAACTGAAAATCTGACATGTCCTCTGAAACCACGGCTTGCTTATTATTATTATTATTTTATTAAATTGTTTTGGTCTCGCTCCAACTTTATTTATTTATTCATACGTTTTGCTCACTGTTGATGTTTTTATGTTTTAGAGACAAAAAGTTAAGAACTTTACAGCAGAATTAATGTTTTTCAGTAAATCCTGCAGGAATCGAGTTCTTTAAGATTCTGGATCTCGAGAACTCGTCCATGAAATAAAGAAAACTGAAGCAGGTTATAAAATGTTCAGTAATGAGACCTGGAATGTGTTTTAGCTGCAGGATCTGGACGGTCCTGATCCTCGTGCTTCACAAAGTCCAGACCAGACCGGGTTTTAAAACTGGATCTTACAAATGGACCGCAGCCTGTAAAACTGGGAAGATTCTCCAGATCAACCCTGTAGCTGTCAAGACTGTTGTTCCTGTTTAATGATGGAGGTTTTGCAGAACGTCACGACTTGATACATAAATAAACACAGATCTTTATTTAATTAAAATGATGCAGAATTTATGCAGCTTCAAATTTTCAGAGAAAACTGCAGCCGAGGAAAAACGTTCTTTCATAAAAATAAAACTTTGAGCTCATAATCACTAATTATTTCCTGATCAGATATAAAGTGAAGTGTTTAATTTTTTTTTTCAAACCAACTCGTAGATGGAATTAAACTATTTATTATAGAATTGATCAGTTTTCTCTTAATGGAGCTCTTTTGATGTAAATCTGAAATAATTTCACACAGTTTTGTAACAAAATGCATCATTTATTCTATAAAAAAGAAAAAGAAATCACAGTGAATGACGGATCGCTCCTCTGCAGAGACGAGGACAGACTAACATCACATCTCAAACCTCTAATAAATCTGAAAGAAGCTTTGCTCAAAACATTTCACCTGCGAGGTACAAAAACACGGCATTCAAGAATTAGGAATGGTTAGTTAGCCGAATGACTTCGACCCCCCCAGACGCATCACGCGCTCCGATCCATCCCGCCCGTCAGCCGGGTGATGCTGCTGGTCGTCCTCTTCCTGCGACCACGAGCTGGAGGTGAAAACATCTGGAGATGGACCACCCGTCATCACAACACAGCGTCACACACACGTCTGAACACACCGGCCTATAAAAGAGGCACATCATCCAACTTTAAAGACCGCGACGATATTTACTGGTATGAAACATGATCAGATTTCTTCTTTGAACGTTAACAGATGGAGAATTTAACAAAAACAATGTTTGTGGGTGAAACTAAAACTCTGCTCTTTTTGTGAAAATTCAGGATTCAGTTAAATTAAAAAATAATGAATTAATCCCAAAGTGAGATTAAATGTAACTCATTCTCCTGGTTTCATTAGAGTGGTTCTAGATGCCGACTGTGGGCTGGAAGAGATCCTTCCTAACCAGTTAAAACAAGTAAAATCAGGTGATCGGGGACACGAACATGGACTAATATAATTCAATAAAAACTGTTGGATGAGTTTAATTCAGCCTCCGTTACCTGTAGAGTGTAAGAAATATATTTTGTTTTACAGCCAATAAAAAAAAAAACAGGTTTTTTTTTTGTATCAAACATCTTTCATGTTTTCAGTTCAAACTACAAATTATAAACAGCTGAAGATTAAGCATTAAAATAAAAATACAAGGTGAATTGGGGGGGGGGGGGGATTAGATTCAGTGTGTCATCAAGTTCCAAAGAAAATGATTTATAACTGGTTTGTATATTGAATAAAGTTAACAGGTGGCAGTGTAAGCTACAGATTCTTGGCCCTGAACACAAAAAAAGTGCAGAAAATATGTATGTAACATAACTGGTGATTTTTATGTCGGAAAGTTTTATTTATCTTTAATTTTCTAGAAACAAAACGGGCTGAATAATCTAGTGTGGTGTTGTCACAGCAGAAGTTCACTGGCTTTAAGTATTTTCATCGTCAGACAACTGAAATTATCTAAGAAATAAAAACTACAAAGGACCAAACATGAAAACATAAAAAAAATTGATTAAAAGGAGAAATTTTTTTTTTTTTTTTTGTTGAGTTGAGCAGAAAAATGAAAACGAGTTTCTGGGAGCTGTGGACTTTTAAAAAACTTTAAAATTTGTTTTGACTGTGTTCATTAATAATTCCCGCTGCAGTCGCTCCAAAGCTGCACGAAGCACCCCCACGTGGCTCGCTCGCTCAAACAAAACCAACAGAAACAGCAAAAAGTCGTCGTTTCAGAACTCTTTTTGTTGCAGGCCCCAAGTTCCCTTTGCTGACAGGAAGAAAAGCTCCGTTAGTGTAAACAAACGAGTGTGCAGGAACAAAAACTCGACCGAACGCCCGAGCGTCGCCCGGACCCTCTGCAGAAACTGAAACTCCAGGTGCCGCCTAGAGACACCCCCACAAACAGCTGACGGATCAGTCGTGTTGCGCTGCCATCACCAGGAAATGAAGGTAGAGAAAAGAAACGTGCACCTGAAGGGTCCACAGAAACGTCCTGTACATGTTCAGGTGTTTAAAAGTCCTTGGCTTTCGTTTGGCAACGTGTTGAAGTACAAACATCGGTGAAAGGTTTGTGCCGATAGAGTAAAAAAAAAAACCTTGATGATCCAGTTCCTGTAGGATCTAGTTGAGTTAGATGAAAAATGTTCTTCTCACGAACTCACAGAGATGATCTGGAAACATTCTGGAGTCCAGAGTGAAACTTAATCCGAGTCTGAGAGGACGATGATTTCATCTGGGTCGCACTGAGTCGCCACGTTAACCTGGAAACAGAGAGAACAACCGGATTAATCACAGAATAATCCCCAAGATTAAAAATATTCCTGTTCAGTCCACCGTTCATCTTTAAACAGGGGCGGAGCCTCCGTGTTCAACTTGTCAGGCTGATGGTCCTTGATCATATGAACAGCTAGTTCAGGCTGTCAACAACAAACTGGTTGATCCACCATGAGAAGGTGCTATTTATAAGACTGAGTTTGTTGCAGCGCCTCAGACTGAAGAAGTCCTTTGGATAAAAGACGAAACGTTTCAACAAGAAGAATCCATCCAGAGGACCTGACTCAACCTTGTTAGATTTTCTACCTGGATTATTGAGCATGAATCAGGAAATCCTGGTCAGCGTTTATCTTTTTAAATACATGGAAACATTCTCCACAGTCCCTGCTGTAAACAAAGTGTTATAAAATATGTTTATTTGAATTAAAGAGCTGATGTGGATGAATCTCAGCTACTATCCTTCCGGTAGAAGGTATAGAATCCCAAAAACTAAACTGAAACATTTTAAATATCTTTTGTGCCCACCTCCATCAACGTTTTGAATCAGATTTTTAAACAGGTTGAGGCCTGGAAGGTGTCCAGGTGTCCTGGAAGGTGTCCAGGTGTCCTGGAAGGTGTGCAAGAACTTTGTGTTCTCTCATGTTTTGTTTTAACTGCATGTGCTTGTCGTCTTTGTTTTTAGCTGCTGATATGAATTGTGTGTGTATTTACCGTCTGAGCAGCTGCTACTACGCTACAAACACCCGAGTCCATGACAAATTTCCCCTAGGGGACAATAAAGTCTGTTCTATCATACATTTTAAGTTAATGTCTTTAAATTTCATTGAGTAATAATTTTTGTGTAGGCTGTGAGTTAATTAGTTGTGGTGGCCATCTTGAATTGGGTTAACTCCAAAAGTTAATCAGTTGCAGATGAACATCCAATAATTAGTTTCTGAAAGTTATAATAAAAGTTGTTTATTGATTCATGAAGTAGACAAACTCACGGGCAAAAACATCACTCAGCTGGATTATTTGGACAATATCTGCCACTTTTTAAATAATCTGCTGTCGGTCCTGTCTAAACAGATGATCAGGTAGGAGGACGACCCACAGTTTACTTGTTTTAGGCGACGACGCTCTTCCGAAGTGTCCACGTTTTCAAAGTGTTAAATAAATGTTAAAAAGTCAGGTAGGTGGTCAATCTCTCATTTTAATTTCCTGCATTTGACCTGATTAACGGTTTGTGTACCTTGTTTTTCTTGGGGGGCGGTGCCGTCAGCGAGCCGTACGACTCGCTCTGAGGTGGAGTGTCGGCTCGGGCGGGTTCTGCCTCCTGAGGAGAATTGCAGCTAATGACACCCATATCCAGAGGAATGTCTGCATCACTGATGAGGAGGATGGAGGGAGGAAGAAGAGAGAAACGGGAGCAAATTAACAAAAAGACTAATTAATTTCTGAGGTTCGTTGAAAACACTCGATCGTTTGAAGTTTGGTTGAATTTTATTAGCGTGTTTAACGAACACCAGGTTCAGAAGAATGAGATAAATCTGAGAACAGACAAATTCATAAATCTGTAAACATACAGTAAAATAAATGTACACACGATACGAGAACATTTAGTCCTTTAGATTATTGTTTTTAATCCCGTCAGTCAGCCTTCACCTCACACAGCCTCACCTGTCGTAGCTGATTTTCTGTTTTACACTTCGAGAGTTTTCCGACATCTTTTCTTCCCTCTTCCTCTTCTGGCTCCTCGTCGTCCTCGGGCTCGGAGGCGGCGACGTCCCGTTGGTCGTTTGACTTCCACACTGACCCGAGCCGACTGTTCCCTGCTCGGCTGAAGAATCTCCATTGGTCTCTGCTGCTGCTGGGTGGACCGCTGCACCGTCTTTAATGACCTTGTTGTCCCGGACAAGAACCACTGAAAGCTGATTGGTCAAGCTCACGGGCTCCTGTAATCTTGCTGGGCGGCCGTTCGACAGCTGCTGCTCGTGAGTCTGCGCGGGCTCAGACTGGGCGGGGCTGTCCCCCGGGGACGGGTTGTTGGACATGGGAAAGGTCAGAGTTTCATCAGAGGAGGGACTTCCAGTCGTGAGGGGCTCGTCTTCATCGTTCACGCTTCCTTCACCGCCTGCAGAAACGATTCCTGTCTGATCATAAGTTTGATCCTCCTTGTTGTCGCTCTCACATTGTTCTGCCTCGTTTTCATCTTCCTCATTCTCATCTTCGCCTGAAAAGGAGCAAATTAAAGTGATTATTAAAGCGCTCTCTTTCTGCTCCCTTCACCTGATCACACAGAGAAGACACCTTGTTTTTTTTAACAGATCAATGGTTCAGACATCATCCTGGTATCTACCACGAGCTCCTAAACACACCCACTGAATCTCCCAAATCCCCCTCTGTAACTACACAAACACAATGTTAGCATGCAACAACATTCCTGCCTTCAACAAGAAGAGAATCCAAATCTACAGATAAAACCCTCGGCCGTTAACAGAGAATGTAAAACACATAAACCTGGACTGAAGGTTGGTTTGGGTTGAAAGACGCTTTACGTCCACAGAAGTGTCAGAACGAGTTTTGAGACCAGGAACTGTTTTTGCCATGAAATCTTTCTGACTGAACGTCTTCAGTCTAACCTGCTGCGTTCTGCTGAGTGCTGGCCTGGATCTCCTCCTCGATGTCGGGGTCTGACGACTCGTCCTCCTCATCCTCTTCCTCCTCTTCTTCCTCCTCTGCCACTCCATTTGCCTGACTCGTCTGCGTTTCCTCTTTTGGTTTGTGGTCCTGGAAATGAACGTAAAGTCAGTGCTCTGTTGCGTTTCCTTAAGTTTACTGTTAACCTCAGGCGACGCACTCTGGTTTAAACTGAAGTCATTTAAGCAGAACTGTCCTTTAACGGTACCGACTCGGTCCTCACGGACAGTTTAAAGACTATGGCTACCTCATTATTTGATGTAGCGTTTGCACCAAAGTTCATTTTGGATCAAATAGTTCAAAGATCAGCAGGAATATTAGACATTAACAGTTTTGTCCCATGAACGAGCCTTGTTCACCTCTTTGTCCTTGCTGTCCTTCTCCACTCTCTTGAGCCTCTCCTGCTCCTCTGTGTCGTCCTGTCTGACGGCGTATTTAGTGATGACCTCCTCCAGACGAGACAAACCCACTTCTCTGTTGGACCGCAGCTTCCTCAGCAAAGACGGGTCAGACAGAGCCGGATCCTGAGCTTCAAGAGAAATGGAGGAAGGGCAGACATTCATTAATTAGTGTATTTATTATTATTATTATGATCACAGTGCAAGTTGTCATTTGTCTTTTTAATAAACCGTTTTGTTAATATCCTAAACATTTCCTCAGTAATTGACCGTTCCCTTCCATTAGGTCCGTTTTACTTAGTTCTCCATCACACAGCAGCAGCTACAGAATAAACATTTTCAATAGACACAGTGAGGATCTGAGGTGTCACCAGGCTTGTAGGGGTCTGTGAGGCGCGAGCCGAAGTTGTAAACCAGGTCGAGGTGGCGTCGCTCCTGCATGCGGCTCCCGGTGTCTCTAAAGGCATCCAGAGCGATCTGATTCAGTTGTTTCCTGCTCAAACACAGGTTGTGGCGTTCGTTGGCACGCAGCACCTGCTGCAGGATGTCGTGGTAATCCGGAGGGTTTCTGTGGGCCTCAGAACTGTTGATGAAACGCTCGATCTGAGGAGAAAAGAGCAGCAGAGGGTACGGTCAGATACAGCAGGAAACGCTCATTTAGAAACGGCTCAGATCGTTTGTAAAATAAATTCTGATTCATTTAGTTCATGAGCTCACACTAACAGTAAACAAGTTGTACATGCTGTAGTTTGCCAGGACACATGAAATAATTAAACTCTCATCAGCTCACCTTCTTGTTGAGTTCAGGGTAACGAGTGCCGGAGTATTTGATCCTCTGCTCAATAACTCGGCCTGTCAGTGTGTTGCAGCCCTTCAGTTCACATAGTTTCTCATAAATCTTCATCATCTGGAAAATAGTGATGAGTTACTGCACGTTTGTTGTAATGTTTAATTTTTCATCTGTTAACGAAGCTCCATCGTTTTGACTTCATTGACCTTTCGCTTGAGTTTGTGCTCCTGGATGTACGTGGAGTCTTCGGTCCCCATGTCATCTAAACTCAGCTCAGCCTGCTGCAGACGGTAGATCTCGTCATTATAAACCTTCAGCAGATTCTCCAGGTACGCAATCTGGACACAAAAGCAAACATGAATCATCTCAAGTCTTTTTCAGGAATCGGTCTTTATAAATAGTTTGTTTACGCACCTGTTTCCTTAACGCTCTGTTGGCTTTTCTTACAGATTCTTGATCTTCCTCTTTCATTTTCTCCTGGCTTTCCAAAGTGGAAGATCCTCCGTCTGCTGCAGACTTCACCTCGTTTTCCTCTTCTGTCTTACCCTTACTTTTGTCTTTGAACTTGAGTGAGGTAGACTGAGACGTACTTGACTCCGCTGTAGAAGGCTCAGCATTGCAGAGGATCTGCCTCCTCTTGACAGTGTGCTGCTTGAGGACAGCGCACAGTTCGTTGATGTAGACAAATGTTTTGGTGAGGTTGGACTGAGCGCGAGTCAGACATCGTCCCAACGTGTTCCTGAACTCAACGGAGGACAGGAAGTCAGGAGAGGCCTTGGTGTGTTTCGCTTCAAGGTATGTTAAGACCTCAGGGCAGTCTTTAGTGAGAGGTTTGCAGTGCTCCAAAAACTGAAGGGACAAAGAAGAAGATTAAAATGATGCTACCAGATGAACATGTTACGAGCTAAATATCAGCTTAAAAGAAGTCCGACTGGCAAAACTTGATAAAACCTAATTTCTTGAGGAGTAAGAATCAAATCCTTTAATCAAAATGTTACAGTCCAATAACTTATCCTGATGCGTGCTCAATAATCCAGGTAGAAAAATTAAAAAAAGTTAAGTCTGGTCCTCTGGACATTCAAAAAACCAAAACAAAGCAAAATGTAGAAACGTTTCGTCTTTCATCCGAAAGACTTCTTCAGTCTGAGGTGCTGCATTCAGCTCAGACTGAAGAAGTCTTTCGGATGAAAGATGAAACGTTTCTACATTTTTTTGTTTTGCTTTTTTGAATGTCCAGAGGACCATACTTAACTTGTTTAGAGTCTAATAACTTCCATCCATTATCTTCTGCTTGTTCCAAAGTCAGGTCTCAGCTGCAGCAGCTTGAGCAGGGGGGTCCACACATCTTTCCACAGTCCCCTCTTCCAGCTCTTCTGGGAGGACCCCAAGGAGTTCCCAGGACAACAGAGAGACGTTGTCTCTCCAGTGTGTCCTGGGTCTTCCCCGGGGTCTCCTCCCAGTCGGACATGCCCGAAGCACCTCCCTAAGGAGACGAACAGGGAGCATCCTTACCAGATGAACCACCTCAACTGACTCCTCTCGATGTGAAGGAGCAGCGGTTCTACTCTGAGTCTCTCCTGATAACTGAACTTCTCCCCCTATTTCTAAGGGAGAGTCCAGCTACCCTGCAGAAAAAAATCATTTCAACCTCCTGTATCCACGATCTCATTCTTTCTGTCATTACCCAGAGTTCAAGACCAGCGGTGAGGGTAGGAACGTAGACTGTTCGTTTAACAGAGAGGTTTGTCTTACAGATCAGCTCCCTCTTCACCACAACGGACCGGCACAAAGTCCGCAATATTGCAGACGCTGCACCAACCCATCTGTCAGTCTCATGCTCCATTCTTCCCTCATTCGTGAACAAAACCCTGAGATACTTGAACTCCTTCACTTGAGGAAGAACCTCACCCTCGACCCGAAGAGAGCGATCCACCCTTTACTGACTGAGGACCATGGCCTCAGATTTGTGCTGATTCTCATCCCAGCAGCTTCACACTTGGCTGTGAACCGCTCCAGTGAGAGTTGAAGATCACGGCACAATGACGCCAACAGGACCACATCGTCTGCAAAGAGCAGAGATGGATCCTGAGGCCACAGAACCGGAAACCCTCCACCCCGTGGCTGCACCAAGAAATTCTGTCCATAAAACTTATGAACAGAATCTGTGACAACGAGCAGCTCTGGCGGAGAGACCAACTCCCACCCTGAAAGGGTCCGACTCACTACTGGCAATGAGAACCAAACTCTCACGCAGCTTGTATAGGGACCAAACAGCCCTTAGCGATGGGCCCCCAATCCCATACCCCCAATCCCATACTCACGTAATACTCCCCACAGCATACCCAGAGGAACACGGTCGAACACCTTCTCTAAGTCCACAAAACACATGTACACTGGATGGGCAAACTCCCATGACCCCTCGATGACTCTAGTGAGGGTAAAGAGCTGGTCCAGTGTTCCACAGCCAGGACAGAACCCACATTGTTCCTCCTGGATCTGAGGTTCGACCAACGATCGGACTCACTTCTCCAGTAGACCTTACCAGGAAGGATAAGGAGAGTAATGCCCCTGCAATTGGGGCACACCCTCCTGTCCCCTTTTTTGAAGAGGGGAACCACCACCCCAATCTGCCAATCCAGTGGCACTACCCCCATGTCCACACAATGTTGCAAAGGCGTGTCAACAAGACAGTCCTACAACATCCAGAGTCTTAAGGAAATCAGGGCGAACCTCATCCACCCCCAGAGTTCTGCCGCCACGGAGCTTTTTAACTACCTCTGTGACCTCAGCCAGTTATGAACAGACCAACACCAAAGTTCCCAATCCCACCAGGTCCCTGTCATCATCCACATGAGCACTGAAGTCACCCAGCAGAATAAAGGAGTCTCCAGCTGGCGCACCTTTCAGCCAGCTTTGGTAAGTCAGGGACAGAGCGCCAAGGTCTCCGCTTTCAGCCACAGCCCATGGCGTCATGTACCCAACTTTTATGGCCCCTTCTGCAGGTGGTGGGCCCACAGGAAGGCAAACCCATGTTACTTGTTCGGGCTGAGCCTGACCAGGCTCTATGGATAGAGACTTGATCACCAGATGCTTGTTGACAAGCCCTTCCCCCAGGCCTGGCTCCAGGGTGGGGCCCCAGTAATCCACGTCCAGGCAAGGGACACTGAGCTCCTTGTTTAATTCTGTCCACGAGTCTTTCGAATTGATCTTTGTCTGGCCTGTCTGTCACTTAGGACCAATCTGCCTTGGGAGATCCTACCAGGGGCAATTACAATTACCCCCCCGAGAGCATAGCACCTAGGATCATTCAGGCGCACAAACTCCTCCACCATGATAAGGTGGAGATTCAAGGAAGAAACGTAAACAAGTAAACATCAAAGTTCATGCTCAATAATCCAGGTAAAAATCCAACAATGTTCAGTCAAATCATATGAACGGTTTCTTATTTTTGCTGAGATGTTTCAAAACAAGTAAAATATCAACATTTACTTTTTTGCGTACGATGACTGAACTCACTAAAGAGGTCAATGAAGGCAACATTCGTTTCTGGAGAATGCATCAAAGTGAGCATTGAGCAAAAGCCTGATGAATCTCAACTTTGGCAAATTTGTAAAGTTTCAAGTTCTATACTGGTGTAGATTCTCAGTTATGCAGGTCGTGGTAAATTCAAGAAAAAAAAACAATTAAAAAAACAAAACAACTGGACTCTGGATTTCGATCCTGTAGTTGAAGACGTTTCACTTCCCCACACAAGGAAGAAAAACCTTTAAATGATGCCTCACCTCACTGAACAACTTCTCATTCTCTGCCTTGAGAACATGAACCTCCTTCTTGGCTGAAGCAAACGGGGACTTGGTGATGTGGGTGGGCGCCGGCTGCTGAGCTTTGAGTGGCGAAACATGTTTGTTTTTTTGTGCAGAGGATGAGGAGGCAGCAGAACATGAAGGCTGAGGGTTCACTTCTTCATCATCATCATCGAGGACGATGATCTTATCTGCCACCGAGGCAGGAGCCACCGCCATTCAAAATGTTGTTTAGTTCTGGAAAAAAAAAGACTTTTGAAGACTTCAAATGCCAGTAAAGTGTAATAAATTCATTACAAAGGTACTGAACTCTGTGAATACGATTTGCCTGAAAAAATTTAAGGAACTACCAGTACAAACTGCCTCCAGACTGTAAATTACCAGATAAAATTTAAACATTTATAAAATAATTACAAAACAGAAATATTTCCAAAGTGAGTTGTCATAATTAGAAAAACTGTTTAGCAATAATAACACTCAAGATGAATCTCCGACTTTAAATATTTGACATTTGGCAGAGTAAAATTATAATCATTTCAGCAGATAATCCCTTTAAAGATTTAATTTATTAACAAACTAGTGATCCATTTATGTTTGTTTATGAAACGTTTGTAAACTAAAGTCCAAGTATAATTTTAAAACAAGTTTGTGAAAATAGCTTTTAGGGAGGAAATTGGCATAAAGTTTAAGTAAAATTTTCTATTATAAATGGCTTCGCTAAAAAAAGTAAACAAATTTATTGAGAATTGATTCTTACTGTTAACATAATCAATAAATTATTTTAATTACACAGGTTTATGACACTGATCCTGTTATGACTGTTAGTCAACTTGAGTTCTAATTGCTTAATAACTAAAAAACGACAGAAAAGACAAGAGTGAAATTGGAAATGGAAACAATTAAAGTCTTAAACTTGAATTCCTGACGGTTTTACAACAGATAGAAAAGAAACAAAAACTGAAAATTACCCAGAACTTATCGCAAATTAGATAAAAGCAAATTACTACAAAGGTAGTTTATTTTGTATAATAATGTACTCACCTCTTATTTAAGAATAGTTAAACGTGAAAATAAACGAGTTTAGCGTTTTACAAGTGCGCATAATATAAAAATGCGGTTAGCCAACGTGATTAGCATTAGCAGCTAGTTATTTTAAAATGTACTTGTAAAAATGAATACACTTGAAAAAAATATCTTACTTTGCTTGTATTGAACGATAACCTATAAACAAATTAGATATATTATTTTTATCCTCAAAAGACTTGCTGCTTAGCCACAAAAAGCTCACAAACTTAGCTATGTTGTCAAGTCGAAACCCGCTAAACTCTGATAAACATCAACGACTGTGATTGGTCAATAAGTGTTAAGAACAAGTAAAACCTCTTCCTATTGGACAGCGAAGTCACGTGTCTCTTTTTCTTTAGCTTTAGATAGTAGTTAGCTACCGCATCTTATACGCATTACTACCACCTACTGGACATATTTATCACCTACAAGCACATGGAGTTTTAAAAAACAAGTTAATTTCATGAAAATATATAAATATTTCGTCTGTATTTCAGAATTATATATTATTTTATATTAATATATAATGATATATTATTTCAGAATATATATATTTTTTAAATTTATTTATTAATGTATTATGTACAATACATTTGATCTAAGTCAGTTTCTACATGTACTGCCTCAATGTCTTAAACAGTTCTGTTAATTCTTTACTTTTACTCAGAAAGTCCCATGTTTTTTCTATGTTAAATGCTCTGACACGATGTCTATAGTGAAGTGGTGAAATAAAAACTGAACATTTTACTTTCATGTAATGTTACTGAAATTAAAATAATATAGATGAGTGTGAATAGTGGGATCTATAATAGTGTGCATGATGATTCACCATTCACACTATTGTTGATTACCTGTTTTTATTTTCCATACATGTTTACATCCAGGAGATGGGTGCTGTGACTTGTTTTTTGTCATTTTTATACTTTTCAAAATAATAAATTTTTCCAGCAAAGATTTTTCCCACAGAAATGCATTGAGATCTTCCGAGTTCTTATAAAAACATTGTTTCAACTTCTTCCTCAAACAACTGAATGCTGATTCAGCCCTCATTCACATTTTCACAGAAAATAGTTACTTCAAATAAATCCTGTCATTCTAAGTTTCTTTCTTAACCTGTAAAAACCTCCTGTCCTCTGCTTCTTATTGTTTTATTCAGAGATGAAGTAAACATTAAAGTGACAAAAACTCTAATTATTCTGGAGATTATTGTTTCTAACAGGCATATCGGAGCTTCATGCTTTCATTCCCTTCTGTCTTTAAACAGGAAATGTAAAATCCTCCTGCACCTCTTCACATCGTTTCCATACTAAAACTAGTGCTTTCTGTAGCGTGCTCCACACACCAAACTGCTCCCTGTATGAACATCTGTCTGCAACAACATTCAGAACATCTGGAGTTAATGCATCACAGGTGCTCATGTGTTGTTTCTGGACGTTTTAAGACGTTTTCACATCAGTATCTCCTGCTACCACACTTATTTTTTAATTTGGTCAAAACTATATACTTAAAATGTTAAAGTAAATCATTTTTATATACATATAAACGTTTTAGTCTTTAAGTTTATCTATAGTTATAAGTTTGTTTGCATCCTAAATGAGAGTAAAAGATAAAAACACACAAACGCCTGAAAGACAAACACGTTTATTGCATATCATAAATGATGCATTAAATTAGACTTAAAATAAGTTTAAAGTGTTTTTATTTTAAACATGCATGAAAAAAGCAGAAATGCATTTTATAAATGCAGATTAGAAGGTTTTCCTGCAGCAGAATCCTCCGCTCTGTATCTTTCCTTCACATTTCTTTCATTTCAACACAAAGTGGCATTAAAATGTTAAAAATTAACTTCTAACAGAGAACTAACATGTTCAAGAAAAATACAGAAATATACACCTGGATTAGACTTTGTGTATTTACAAAACAGGATTGTTTCAGTGTTTCAAAAGTTTTTTATAATTATTATTTAAACAAACATTAAAATCTGTGGTCCATCAAAAAGTACAAGCAAATCTTCTTAAAATCTTTTGTTAAATAACGAAAAGAGTGAAAACATCATTAGATACATTTACAAAGATCAAAGGAAGCTGAGCTTTCAGTAAAATCATAATTGATTCTTTTCCAGTGTTTATAACAGATGAAAAAGAGCCGCGACATCAAATCAAATATTTACACATCAAGACAAATGTTTACACTGAACCGAGGCCAAAGTACACAAATAAAATAAAAATAAACATCAACAACACAAGACGGTAAAAATACCAGCTTTACAAAACGTCTGTAACTTTAGATATGAGTAAAATAATCTTTTCTTACATATTTATGTAAAATAAAAATGATTTACCACCATCATGGCTGCAGAAAAACTGATCTGAATTCAAAACTGCTGCTTGAATCTCATCGAAGGTGCAGAAAACGTTCAACGGTTTACAACAAACAGCTGACGTCTCCTTTATTTCTCTTTCTGTCAGGAGGGAGAAAACACAAAACAATAACAGGAAACACCAAAACACAAATTATTAGTTATTTGCTCACCTTATCTTGTTCGTCCGTTTTATCTGAGCCTAAACAGAGAAATAAAAAACAATAAAGTCAGAAATAGATGGAAATTTGATGTTTTGAATTTAGAGGCAACATTTTTAACTTTGTTTTTTCTTTATCTAAAAAACTAAAAGATCGTCTGCAACACCAACAATTACACCTCCACACATAATTAATCAGTTTAAGCATTGAATTGATCATTGTTGCAAAGATTAAAAAAAAAAACTGATTAGTTACCTGATCCAGTAAAAGTCCAGGAAACAAACTTGATGAGGCCGTAGAGCACCAGAGCCACCCCAACCATCGCCATGGAGTCCTCGATGGAGGGAGAGCTGAACCCTGAGGAGAAACACTTTTTATTATTCAATTAGATTATTTCAGGGTATGTGTTTGACTCAGAACCCTGAAATATAAAACAGTGAAGGTGATATTTAATGATTGAAAAATAAAAATAAACGTTTTGAAATGTCTTCAACCGTAATAAGCATTAACTTTAGGACAAATGTTTGACCACACGCAACAGTAAAAAAACTACGGCACGCTGACTGAAATGTAAAAGTGATTACCGATGATGCTGAGGGTCATGCTGGCCCGTCGAGTTCCTCCAGCGTGAACAGCCACGCAGGTGACCTCCCCCCCTCGGCCCAGGTCCAGTTTGGACGTGTCCAGCTCCAGCCGGGTGCGCTGACTGTAAGTGAGGTCCCAGGCCTGCCTGTGGCCCGACATGCTGCCTGCTCCCAGAGACCTGGACTTCCCATCAGCACCTTTAAACTCCCAGCTCAGCTCCAGATGGAGGGGGGCGAAGCCGGACGCGTCGCAGTGGATGTTAATGGTCTGACCCGGAACGGCGAGGGGCAGTGGGGAGGGGTGGATGGAGAGAGATGGAGGTTCTGGGTGGAGGAATGGAAAAAGTGTGGTAATATTTGTATTTTTTTCAGAGGTTACTGGTTTTATAGGAAATAGATGCTTAAATCCCTCACCTACAACCTCCAGGTCCATGGCCACCTGAGCCATCAGGTACGGCAGGTACACGGTGCAGATGTACGTCCCAGAGTGACGGACTTTAGCCTCCTCCAGGATCAGGGAGGCGTTTCCTCTCTTGTACAAACCCTCAAAGTCCAGAGTGACCCCCTCCTCGTGTGTATCAGCCAAACGGTCCGTCTTCCCATCATAAGCCAGGACAAGTCGTCCGTCTCCTCTGGTCTGGTACCGCCACTCCACGGCAAAGCCTGACGTGTACAAAGGTGAGGAGGAGTCGGCCCAGAAGCCACAGTCCAGAGTAACGGGTTCCCCGAGTCTGGTCTTGGCAGACATGGTTTTACTGGTGACGCTCAGGATCACTGAGGGAACGAAGAACAGTCAGAACAAACTTCTGAACGTTTGAATCAAAATTCCCTGAATTAAAACCATCACCTTCATGTTCTGTGGATCCTGTCGGAGCTCGTGTGATGGTAGAAACCCCCAGCTGCTCGTCGAGGCCCTGAAAGGACGCCGAGAACCAATCAGCTTGCAGGTAGATGGGGCTGAGCGCTGGTTCTGTCAGAGAAGAGACCCATCTGAGGCTGGACGGCTGCGGCAGGAAGGGGTTGACCTCACACTGGGGCTTCTTGACGGAGCCTTTGGGGGCTTTGAAAGACTGATGGCAGAGAGTGGCTGCAGGGTCTGAGAACAGAGGACACATCGACTTACATCAACGTTTTATGGTTTCACTAAAACATAAATGCCTAGTTTGATATAATCTATATAAAAAAGGAAATTTGGTAAAAGATAAAACTTTACTTGTGATGGGAGATGTTCATTTTAGACATGCTTAAAGGAAAAAAATAGGTGTGTATGAAGATATATTTGTAGATTAAGTAAAAGGTGTACATGTAGATGAACGTGTGTTTGCACATCTTGTTGAGCTAACCTGTGATAACGTAGACTCTGCTGGGGTTGATGTCAGAATGAGCCTGATGAGTCTCTGGACTGGAGCTTCCTGCGTCAGTTCTGATGTGAAGAAGTGATTTTTCCTGAGTCGTAGCTCCAGTTAAACCTCCTCCTCGACCCGCCTTCTCCTGCACAAACCAGCACTCCAACACCGGGCATCTGCTGCTGCTGCTGCTGCTGCTGCTGCTGCTGCTGCTGCTGCTGCTGCTGCTGCAGGCTGCAGACACACAAATATAAAAAACACCACAATAAGTGCAAACATAATTATACTATTATCAATAATTTTGTATTTCAACACTGTGCTCCATTATAAATGTAGGTCAAAGACACTTTTCTTGCATGTATTGTATCCTTGATAACCTGCAGTAAAAACTCTATGTAATAAATATTAAATAATAATAAAATAAAATAAATAAGGTATTTCCAATTGGGAATTGCTAAATACAAAACAAATCAAGCCTTGACTGTAACTTGCACCATTAAAGTAAACCCTGAAAAAAACCTCAGGCAGAGATCACAATCTTTCAGTTTAATTCTTGCTTTCATTAAATTCACCTGCCTTTTCTTCTAAATGTTTAATAAAAGCCCTTAACAACAAAGTAAACCTCAAATTTTAGTTTTTTCCACCCTATTTGTTTTAATTCTTTAGTTTATTTTAATAAACAGGTTTTGTCTGTTGAAGGCTTTACGTCTGTTGCAGTGCGCGCTCCCGACAGTGCAGGGGGAACAGAAATTCGCACAAGACTCGTACTACTGGTTTTCTGTACTGTAACTGTATTTAAAACACTTTTTATACTGCATTTAATTAATAATAAATTCAGCTCGTATTTGTGTGTTAATCGACTTCATTAAAAGGTTACTGTATGTATAAATATGTTTTTAACTTGTGTTTTTAGTCAGATAAGTAGAAATGAAGATGAAGAGCTTACCTTGTATGAAGCAGATAGCAGCGACAACAGATAATTTATAAATTGTAGAAATGTCCTTCATGTTTCTTAGTTTCTCCGTTTATCTCAGGTCTGAATTTACTGTCAAACGAACTCAAAGTGTGTTCAGAAGCTGGTTTTCCCCTGCGAGACATTTTACTTTCACTTTCACCTGAATTTATGCTGCAGTTCTGCAGTTCACCAGCAGAGGGCGCCGTTTGACTACACTGCCTCATTGAGTCACGAGAACTCATTTTCAAGAGAGACCTGTTTTTGGGAGCCTGCTCCCTCTGTTCATGCTTCTTTGTCTTTGCTTCATTAGTATAAGGTTCCATTGCCCTGCTGCCTGTAATATCAATATCATCGGAGAAAATCAAATTGGATCAAAACAGAAAAAAGGAACATTACAGTAACAATAACTGTTCATGTTTGCCTTTTGAAATAAAAGAAAATTGAAATAAGATTCACAAAACCAGCTATTTTTCTTGTAATTTTTTGGTTCTTTTTATGTTAGTTTACAGTATATTAAACATTATTTTATGAAAAATCTTATTTAAGATTTATTTTATTTTTGTTATCTTTGTGTATTTTGTGCAAATTGTTCCTGAGTCATAAAGTGAGGGAGAGATGTAAAGCTCAGTTCAGAGGCAACCACTACAGCATTAACCCAATAAAATAAAAATAATTCATGTCTTTAATGTAATGGAACTAAACAAAGAAGAGGTAACTGACAAATTTGTTTCATGTAAATTCTAACATAAAATATAATAATTCAAGCAAGAATGTAGACTTCCATCTTTTCTCTTCACTGAGTAACATTACATCGAATTCAAGATGTTAGTTGTACTTGATGCATGTTGTAACCATTCACTTGAAAGTCAAACAAATAAGAAAGACTGACTATAACAAATTCAGACATCTACAAGCTCAGGTCTTTCTCCAGCCTGACCCTCCTGTTTTACACTCTCAAACGAACGTCTGTTCCTCAGATCTACCTAGAAACGACTTTAAAAAGATTTCGTGAATTTCTATTGGTCTGTCTGTGGCCCTGCCTACCTCTGCCATGGTTATTTGTCCTCTCCTACCATAGCTGTCTCATTACGTTTTCTGTTTCACAGGGTTATAATTGTTTGGTTTGGCTTCCAGCTTTCAGTTCATTACCGCAGAAATGAAGGGCTTGCTTGTGACTTTTTGTTGTATCCAGGCCATATCTGCAGGTAAGAAATCCAATATTCTGTAGTGATTACTTACTTTTGTTATTATTGTCAAATTACTGTTGTTGATGTACTTAAATTATTATTTGGGTTGTATTTAAAAATAAGCCCCCTTTTCCTAAGACCGTTACAATAACAAAGTTTATCTGGAAAAGTAATTTTCACAGATGGTAATTTTCTGTCAATGTATTTCAGTTTAGATGCATAATGACACCAGGGGGCAGTAAAACATTTAAGAAAAGAACGGAAAGGAAGGTTTAATCAAAAGTTTGATTGTCATACGGAATCCCTTTATTTCCAGCTCTGCATTCCTGGAAGGCGTTTTATACAGGCAGCTCTGGCCTGAATGAGTTTCCTGAATTTGTGGCTTTAAATCTCTTGGATGATGAGCTGATGGGGTATTTTGACAGCAATACCAACAGATTTGAGAGCAAGCAGAGCTGGATGACACAGAACCTGGGCCAGGAGTATGAGGAACAACAGACAAACGTTTTGCGAAGCTGGGTGCAGACCTTCAAAGGAAATATAGCCATTGTGATGGACCGATTCAACCAGTCAAAAGGTATTTTTTTTCAACAATTTTTCTCTATCTCTCACACGGACACACACACACAGAGAGAGAGAGACGAGATCAAAATAAAAACTAAAATCCTTTTATAATTTTCTTTGTTTCTGAGGTGATTCTTCTGAATGAAGCAGGTGGAAATCTGATTTTTAGATTTCTTCTTTCTAAACACAAACAGGTTTTACTCTGAGTCAGTTTAATGGTTTTATTTCACACTTCTCCTTCAGGATCTTCACTTTTTAACTCTTCCGTGGTTCAGCCTCCATGGAAACACAGAAACTAAACAGGTCTGAGATCAGATTTCTTTGTTTCCTCTGAGCTGCAGACGTCTGAACTTTAATTTCCTGAGGAGTTTCTCTCATCAACTCCAACGTCTGGTGGAGAACCAGAACCAACCAGAACTTTGAACGAGTTCTGCTGCTGCGGTTCTGATAAGGTCCGAGGTTTTCAGAGAAACAACGTAAAACTCAGAAACACAAACCTGCAGACAGACGAGCTGAGCTGTTAGGAAATAAAATCTTTACATTTCTCATCGAAGCTCTGTTTCTAAATGAGAGTAAATTAGTTTGGATTAAAGACAGATTGAAGTCCACAGACTGGATTAGATGAAACTCTCTGAGCTCATCAGTTTGTTCATCTGTGAGAAATAATCCAGCTGCAGTTTGGAAACAACTTTCATCAAGTGAAGAGTTTTTATTAGAAGAAACACAGGAAGTGATTCATTAATGAATCAATTAGTTGATGAACAAATCATCAATCAGATATTTAATTGACTTTATTAAACAAAACATGAAACTATTGCTGCTTAATAAAATTATAATCTGAGTGTTTTTGTTAAATTAGCTTCTAAATTTCAGAATAATTCAGCAGTAAACGTGTTGAGCCTCGTTCTGTTTCCAGATGTTCCATGTTGGTGATATTTGGACATTTAATGTTGATGTTGTTGTGTGGACACAGTGTGAAGATGTTTCTGCATCAAATCATCTCAGAGAGTTTTGGTCCTCACAGATCAGCTCCATCAGACCTTCAGCTGTTTGTCAACAACACCAAGAGTTTCAGCTCTTTTCAGATTTCTGCTCCTTGTTGTCGGTAAAGAAACTTCACGAGCAGATGTTCTTTGAGCACCAGCTTGAATTCAGTTTATTTGTAAAAACTGGACGAACGTCCCCAGAAGAGTCTCAGTCCTCACAGCTGCACATCAGCTGAACTTCGGCTGTTTGCTGCTCACGGAAACAACTTTTATCTTTTTACACAAGAACAGCTGAAATCCTTCAGAAACTCAAATTATTGCATCAAACAGACTAAAGGTCCGGAGGTCCGACTCCGTCTGCAGCTGCTGGAATAAAATCTGACGTCCGGCTGCGATGAAGCAACGTCTGGTGAAAATCCACATTTAATCTTAATCTGAGCCTGAAACTGGTCAGTAAAATATTCCAGGTTCAAACAGTGAAGTGTCCAAAAGAAGAACTTTAATTAAAGTGAATATTTGTAAAAAACACTGAGAAATATTTATGTTTTATTAATTTGTCTGTAAACACTGAGCTGAAGATTAAAGTTTATTTTTTATTATTTACTCTCCTCATTCCTCAGATTTATTCCACAGTGAAAATTAATAATTTAATACAACAAACGATAATAAACGATCAGTAAAAACACAGATCAGCTGTTTCAGCTCTGAACTTGTCATAGATTACAGATTAGATTAAAATAATTGTAACTTGCAGGCTAATAATCCCTGTGATTTAAAGAGGAGATGTTTGAGTAAATGTTGAAGAAACACGTCCTAATCTGCCTCCATCAAATAATTCCTGCTTTCAGTGAAAGAGTTCAGGAGAAGTTTAATCTGAGCTCTAATGGAGCTTCAGGTCGGAGCAGTTCAGATTAATCAAGATGAACTCAAATCAATCTGGAGCTGAAGAGATTAAAATGTAAATGTTGACACGAGACAAACCACAGATTATAATCTGTGTCTGACAGGAGTCAGACAGAGCAGGAAGGAACCAGAACCAGGAGACCTCTGGTCCATCTGAGACCTGATGGAGAGGAGATCCGGTGGTCTGAGGAGGTTCTGACGTCTCTTCAGGTTCTAACTTTAAAGTTCGTCTCAAATCTCAGAGGGAACTGACGTAGAGGAGGTCGTTGGAGGTCACGAGTGATCTCAGCCTATCTGCTGTCAGTGACTGTCAGCTACTACCACCTCTGCTGTCAGTGACTGTCAGCTACTACCACCTCTGCTGTCAGTTACTGTCAGCTACTACCACCTCTGCTGTCAGTGACTGTCAGCTACTACCACCTCTCAGCTGATTCACATCAGAGTCTGTAAATTTCACTGAGCTGTAACCATTTATGTGTGAACTGAGTTTGGTTAGCTGTGGCAGCCATCTTGAATGTTGTTGAGTCCAAAAGTTAATCAGTTGTTGATGTTCAGCTGATAATTACATTTTGAAAGTTTCATTAAAATCAGACCACTGGTTCATGAGATATTTTGCTAACAGACAAACAGTATTACCTCTAAAAGTTAATGCAACTTTTTAAGCAGATGTTGCTCAATGAATTGTTTGAAGTTTGTGTCGGGACAACGTTCAGCTACTTCTTAAAAACATTTAGTTCAATATCTGTTAAATTAGTTGAGTTACAGCCATTTTACGTGTTCTCTAAAGACAGTTGGCTGTGGCGGCCATTTTGAATTGAGTTGACTCTAAAAGTTAATCAGTTGTTGTCGAATGTTCAGTGATTATTTTCTGAAAGTTTCATTAAAATCAGATAATTGGTTCATGAGATATTTTGCTAACAGACAGAGTTGACTCCAGGAGTTGAATGTCAGAATCACTGATTCAACAGACATGAGTCCAAATGGATCACAGAGCTCAGCTACGGGTCCTCGGTGTCCAGAACCACTGATCTCTGGTGACGTGGACCGAGTTCACATCTGACCCTGACAGCTGTCAATAAAAAAAACAGCCGTCAATCTAAAAACAGCTGTCAATCAAAAAACAGCTGTCAATCTAAAAACATCTGTCAATCTAAAAACATCTGTCAGTCTAAAAACATCTGTCAGTCTAAAAACATCTGTCAATCTAAAAACATCTGTCAGTCTAAAAACAGCTGTCAATCTAAAAACAGCTGTCAATCTAAAACATCTGTCAATCTAAAAACATCTGTCTGATTCAGTTCATGTTTTATGTTAAAGATGAATGAACTGTTATTAAATCAGAAGTCTGATGTTTCTCTGCGTCTCTGCTCATTGTTGTTCTGTCTCACTCAGGTGTTCACATCTTCCAGAACATGTACGGCTGTGAGTGGGATGATGAAACTGATCAGGCTAAAGGTTTTAATCAGTTTGGATATGATGGAGAAGACTTCATTGCTCTGGACCTGAAGACAGAATCCTACGTTGCTGCCAAACAACAGGCTGAAATCACCAAACACAAGTGGGACAATAATAAAGCTGGGATGGAATACCTAAAGAACTACTTTGTGCAGGAATGTCCTGAGTGGCTGAAGAAATATCTAAACTATGGGAGGAGCTCTCTGATGAGAACAGGTATCACTCCATATTTATTGTTAGAAACACAATATTATTATATTTTAATTTAATGTACTGTTACACTATAATCAACTTAATCTGTCACATTTATCTTTTTCTTTAAGTTCAACCCTTTCCATCTTTCCATCTTCCTCTCCTGACTCTCAGAAACATCTTTCTTTTCTTCTCACGACTCCCTCCTTCTTTTCTCACTCAGTAAACGTCACAGTTTGTGTATTTGCTCCGTTCAGAGTACTTGACAGCAGGTTGTACTGTAGTAGTTAGCAGCTGTACAGAAACTGTAAAGGGCTTGTGTTGTGTGTCCAGCTCTTCCTTCAGTGTCTCTCCTCCAGAAGACGTCCTCCTCTCCAGTCTGCTGCCACGCTACGGGGTTCTACCCTGAGAAAGCTGAGCTGCTCTGGAGAAAAGATGGAGAGGAGATCCATGAGAACGTGGACAAAGGAGAGATCCTCCCCAACAACGACGGGACCTTCCAGATGAGCGCGGAGCTTTCATCTGTTGCTGCTGAAGACTGGAGCAAGTACGAGTGTGTGTTTCAGCTCAGAGGAGAGGAGGACGTCGTCAAACCACTGGACCACCGTCACATCAGGAGCAATGAAGGTAAAACTCACGTAGGATGTGAGGAACATGGAAAACTTTAATTAATAATATTTAAACACCTTTATGGGTTAGAGACAAAGAAATACCACAGGTTTTTTTCAAACTTTATGAACTTTTATTTGTTTTTGATAATTACTTGATGTATTTGTCCAAAATTCCCTCTTAAGTTAAGTTACCTTTTTATTTAAATCAAAAACTGAGCAGTATTTTTAAAACAAGTGTTTCTGTCAGCTACGTTTATGTGCTGTCGTTTTATAAAAATAAGAAATCAATACCATACATTTTATTAAAGTTGATATTTTTACAGAGATTTAAAGCTTTTACAGAAAAGCTGACTGTTTTTTCAGAAAATAAAGTAACTTAATGTAAATTCACATTTTGAAATGTTTAAACTATTGAAAAGTTCTAGATTAGTTAAGAAATTTTATTAATTTTTATGTATATATACTGTTTAATTAGATAAATCAATTGTATTTTTGAGCACATTTAAAACAAAGTCCTGTTCAATAAAATCATAAAACAATTTAAACAAAGTCATGAATACCCCAAAACAAAAAGTCATAAAAACGGAAGATGATTTTAAAACAAAAGGTAAAAACGTAAATAAAAAAGAGACTAAATTACTGAAAATTCAACCCATGAGTTGTAATAAAATCCTGTAATTAGTTTCTTGTTTCGTCCACAGCAAACCTCATGACCGTGATCATCCCCGTCGTCGCTGCAGCTGCTGCGCTCGCCGTCGTCGCTGTGATCGCGTTCGTTCTTTACAGGAAGAGGAACGGTGAGAACAACAGAATATAAAACGTCACAGATTTTAAACTTTATTAGCAAAACTGTCTTTTTTTAATCCAACAATAAACAAGACAAGCGTTTGTCAGTTTGAAGAGACGCTGAAAACTTCAGTTAAAAATTGAAAACCACAGTTTCATCTTTTTTAACTGAAATCGTGTTTTTTCTTCTCCTTCCAGCTAAACGTCCTCCGTCTCGTAAGTAAAACTTGTTTCTATCCTTCACTCCCTAACCTCTACTTGTTTTTAAATTAATTTGTGCAGTTTGAGCTGAAGCACTCGTTCAGGAGCGTTTTCTGTTTACGTTCAGTTTAAAGCAGAACTTTAACGTCGGCGTGTTTTTATCTTCACAGCTGTAGAAAAGGCTGAGGTCCAGCAGCAGATGCTTCCTGAAGCCTGAAGGACGAGCAGCCGTGCACACAGTGAGTGTTTCATTCACTAAACAAGCTACTTTAAAACTAAATTAATCAGAAATATCTGAGTATTAAAGTGTAAAACTTCTTTATTCTGCTGTGGCTGGAAAATAAATCTGACTTTTACCTGTTTTTTTTTTCCAGTTTATGAAAATTTCTGTTAAATTTTTGCTAAATTATTTAGAATATTTACATAAATGCTTTCAGAAAGCCTCCCATCTGTCAGTTATATCAATTCAATAATACAAATGTTAATTTGCTGAAAAATGCTGAAGTTTATAAAATGCGTAAATAAAACTAAATATGTTTTTGCCTCAGAAAGAAATGTAGGCAGAGATTTAAATTCTGAACATTGCAGCCTCCTGTTAATAACATGTTAATCTGATTAAACTCTAAACCTTTATATTATTAATGTTTTTATTTTATGTAATTGTTGTTTCTTGTCTCTTCAGGATGGATCCAGTTTGCGCTGAACTCAGGAGTGATTTCACCACCGTCTGTGAAATGAGTTAGATGTTTGATGATTGGACGGAAAAATGTCTGGAAAATTAATAAGAAATTATAAAAAGTGTACTTTAATATTTTCCCAACAGATTAGTAATATGGAATTACTTTTGATTTTATGTCCTGGATATTAAATTTTCTCTGGTAGAAACAGTAGAAATAGAACTAAACCGGGATTTAAAATATTTAAAATAAAACCATCACACACTCAGTTCAGTCGAACTCATCAGCTGTTCAATGTGTTTCCATGAATCACAACAAATTCATCAAACTTTACAGACTTTATTCTGGTGTCGGGCTTTTCTATTCTGTCAATAAATCACCTGTGAATATTTACACACGTAATATATTTAACAATTTCTCTTGTCAAAAATAATGATCTCATTACATTAATCATCATAAATCTAATAAATGACATTAGAGATTATTAATAGCGATCACCGAAAATGTTTTATTTTATTTCTAGACTCCAGTTATTTGAACTTCACCAGAACAAGATGAGCAAATAAAGTTTTTCTTCATTATAGCTAATTCTTCATTATTCATTTAATAATAGTTTATGCTACATATTTGACACAGAATTGATTTCCAAAACATCTTGACTTCCACATATATTATTTAAATAAAGTCATATAAAATAAACGTTCTTTCTCCTGAGCATTCACACAGATTAAAAAAATAAACCTCAGACCAAATTACTTTCCAGTTGTGTAAATATCCTGTTTGTAAATATCTTGTTTGTCTGATGAAGGTAAAACTTTAGTTCTGATTTTATTTTTATCGGAGTAAACAAGCACACAAACATTTATTCCCGATGTTTAAAAAAATGTGTTTTACTTGATTGATTTTAGATTTTTTTCCAGTTTGTCTTCACAAAGTCTTTGAAAATATTTTGTGTGAAGCAGTTTTCTTTCTGTCACAGAAATTTAAAACTTGTTGTTGGGCTTTTATTTTCTTTATCATTTTTGAGGAGAATGTCTGTCAACCTTTAAGATTTTATGTAACTTTTTTCTGATATTTTGAATAAAGTCCCTATTTAATCTTAATTTTGTGTCCATTCATATCTACTGTTCACACAGTGTGTGATGTGTCAGTAAAGCTGTGATTTTACATATAATATTGTTATAATCAGATGAACGTGGCTCAGAACTACAGATGTTCTTTGCTGAAAACATTTAACAAGAAAAGACAGGGATGACTGAAACTTGATGCAGGAACAGTGGGATTTATGTGTTTTATTCATGTGTTTATTTTCTGGAGTGTTTTAGATTTTTCTGTAAGTTTTAGGGGCGGCACGGTGACGCAGTTGGTACAACTGTCGCCTCTCAACGAGGAGGTCACTGGTTCAAATCCCGGCAGGTGGCCTTTCTGGGGGGAGTTTGTATGTTCTCCGTGCTGCATGGGTTTCCTCCCACAGACTAAAAACATGCATGTTAGGCTGATTGGTAACTCTAAATTGTCCCTAGGTGAGAGAGAGTGAATGGTTGGTTGTGTCCCTGTGATGGACTGGAGACCTGTCCAGGTGTCCCCCACCTCTCGCATAATGACATGGACACCAGTGACCCCCGCGACTCAAAATGTAATAAGCGGGTAAAGATAATGGATGGATGGATGGTTATGCATAACAGCAAAGCAATAAAGTTTTTGTATGTGGGAGTAGTTAGCCAAGTATTTCACGAACAGGTGAAAACAAGTAATCATTGGATAAAAAGAACTGATTCAATTGATTGATTCAGTTGTGATTGATTCAAATTCAACAGATTCAATCTCATTGAAAAAAACTACCTCAGCCAATTTGTAAAGTATTGATCTCAGATTTGGTGTCGTAGTAGCTGCAACTGAATCCTAACTATAGTCTGAGAGCTACCTGATCGTGTTAGTTCTGCGTAACCTTTTAACATTTAGTCTATTAATAAAATATCTCGTGAACCACTGGATGGATTTTAACAAACCTTTCAGAAATGGGTCGTTCTTCACGTACAACTGATAAATTATGCAGTCAACCGACGTCAAGAAGTCTAAAGACCAGCTGTCAACATAGAGAACACAAACATGAATATAACTTACTCAGAATTACAGCTATCCAGGTAAAGTACAAGTGGTAGTAGCTGAGAATCATCCCAAACACAAACTCCAAGCATTGATAGACCTTGCAAGATATAATTGTGATAATCTTGAATTAAAACGTCATAAAATGTGGAGTGACACATACTCCTTCAAGGAATTCTAGGTCTTTCAGTTCTTTGTTTTTGATTTATAAAAACTGAGAAACATTTTAGTTTCTGACATTTTTTGAAGTGGTCTCTGTTCAGCTGCAGAATATAATACTCAAAACACTTTTAAATAAGTACTCGAGGACACCAGTTACTTTGGTGCAAAACGTTCTCCAGCCAAAAAAGCATCTTATGAGTCACGAAAAAATCCTTTCATGTTGCAATAAAAAATTACAAATACTGTCAGTAAAACACACTGGGTTGGAAAACACTGGGTAAGTGTTGGAAAATGAAAAATATGCTCATTTGATTTTAATCTACAGCATAATTTTTTGTCTCCCTTGGTTTCCATAAACTCATCTGCCATAATCTCTCATAATAAACCTTCTAGGTCAGTTCCTGTTTTCACCTCCAGCATTAAGTTAACAACAAACTCTATAAACATCCACTCTCTGAGTCAGTTATCTTCAAGACCAACCTGACGGGTAAAGTTTATATCATACACTTCATATCACAAAACACCTGAATTACTGTCAGTTTATCACAGGAGAGTCTGCTTTAAAAACTCATTTTACTGGTAAAATCATGAGCCATGCAGCTTGAAAAGTTTATTTTAACAGACTGTGACAACATGAACATCATAGTTACATTAAACCAGCGCTGTAACTTTGTTTTCTTTTACATGCCCATTAAAAACAGTCGTGGTTTATTTGGATCAGTGGTCGACTCAGAACATCCCCTCTTTGTAACGATGGATCAACTCTGAGACGTCCTCTTTACACACTTTGATCCAGCCATCTTCACGCATGTGGTACACTACACACAGCGAGAGAAATACAAATAAATACATGTAAACTTAAAAATACAAATAAATACATG